AAATATAACTTGATCGCAAATGTTCATAAATGGGTCGAGCCGACCCAATGCAGAAAAATCGAACCGACCTGAATTACCATCCATGCCGATAATGAATATATTGAAAAATAGGACAACGATATAGCGGTAAGTTTAAGTGAAAAGTAAATACTATATTTATTATTTGTGTGGAATAAAAATTTATTAAATTTAAAAATAAATATATTGATTAAAGTAAAGCAAAATGATAAAATAAATAAATTGTTCATGGACGAAGAGAATATGTGTATATACATATATTTATTTATATTTCAGTTTGGTTACATGTATTATACTGATAATACATCATATTTAAATTGTCTTTAATACAAGGTTATACAAATTTACGAACTTTTTAAAACTCTTATTTAAATATAAGTTGCAACTCTTATGCTAATTCGGCCCGTAAATATGATGTTGATTTGATCCGATAAACATATGTTATACAAATGATCAGAATATATATACACATAATATAATATACGATGCATTTTAAAATAATATATATTCTATTATAATATAATATATATTATATGATAAATATATTAAAATATGTATAAATATAGCATAAATAATAATTAATTAGTAGTAAAAACTATTAATTAATTAAAAGTTGAATTTTTATTTTTATATTTGATTATTTTTACCTCGTCTACAGTCTTTTGACTTTGTTTCTTTATCCCTTTTGTTTCCCACGTTGTTTGCTGCTTTTATTAACTAAAGCCCCTTCTTTATTTCTTTTATTTTTCTTTAAAAAAATCGCTTTTTGGACCATTAAAAGAATCAACAAATCTCAGCCGTCGGATTAATTCATCAAGTCAAAGCTTTAAAATAAACAGTCGGAGCCAGTCACCCTCTGACCATAACAAATTTTTCCAACTCCTGCCTTCCCGACTCCCCCTTCAAATCAACCACAGTCACATCATCAATAAACGGTTCAGATTGAAATGGACCTAAACACCCGGGAGCTCTATATCTTACCCGGCGTGCCCCATCTGCTAAACGCAAGCCCCAATAAATGCATCTGCTGACCCGTCCTTATAAATATATATTTTTCATATAAAACCAAAAAGAAAAAATATTTATATATATTAAATAAAAAGAAAAAAAGAAAACTGAAAGCTCACCTTCACCTTTTGATTTTCTTTATCTTTTAATTTTCTTTTGGGTATTTTTCTCTCTTATAATTTTATTTATTTTTTTAAATATATATAAATTTTAGAAGTTTCTTGTCACTATCTCAATGTGTTCTTTTTCCAGAACTATATTCCTTTTTGGCATTTTCATCTCTTCACTTCTATTGTTCCATCATTTTCTCACTTTCATTATTATTTTTTTTTAATTATTTTTTGGGCTATTTTGATGGTCAATATTTCAGATCTGATGCTTCTGTTTAAAGTGGCTTAATAATAATAATAATAACAATAATAATTATAATATTGTAGAAATGTTCACTGGTTACGAAACTGAGCTGTGGTGCTGCTTGCCTTTGTTCTTTTTTATTTTTTTGGATTTGTTCTAAAAGCGTGTTTGTCTTTGTCAGTTCTGTAAAAAGAAAGCGCGCTCTTGTAAAAGGAAGCCTACGATTATATTTGGATAACGTAAATACCATTAAAAGATATTTTTATAATCGATAGTATATAAAAGGGAAAAAATTATTTTTGATCTCAATATAATCAAAATTCATCAATTTTGTCTCAATATAAAAACTTATCAATTTTGGTCTCAATATAACTAAAATTCATCATTTTTTGTCCAAATATAAATTTTTATCAATTTTAGTCTCAATATAACCAAAACTCATTATTTTTTGTCTCAATATAATCAAACATTATTTTTTTTTGTCATAATATAATCAAAACTTTTTTTTTGTCTCACACCGTCAATAAACCGACAGAAAAAGCTGACAAGAAAAAAAATCAAACTTTATATTTATATTTGAAGAAATTGCACAATCTTGCAGCATTTTCCGTCAGTTTGTTGACGGTTTGACTAAAAAAGACAAGGTTTGATTATATTGAGACAAAAAAATAATTAATTTTGATTATATTTAGACTAAAATTGATAAAAAATTTATATTATGACAAAAAAATGATAAGTTTTGGTTATATTATGATCAAAATTGATAAGATTTTTATATTAAAACCAAAATTAATGAATTTTTGTTATATTTGGACAAAAATAATTTTTCCCTATATAAAAATATAGACTATTAGTACGTGGATTAAATGAATATGACATATTTTGTGTTGATTCTTGCATTGTGGTGTCACATTGTAATTTAAAGATTCATTGGTTTTTTTTGGTATGTGATATATAAACTAATATTATGTAATATTATTCCATATGTCGGATTACATTTTTATTTACATTTTATATAATGTCATATTATAATAGTTTGGGTGCGTTTCTTTGATTCGAGTTTGAAAAAATTTGATTTAAATTTAGTATTAAATAATATTTGATAAAATTTATTGTTAAAAAATATAAAATTTAAATAGGTAAATTTGAAAAATTTTAGATAAAAAAAAAAATACGTCCCCTTATCGGTAAGTACAGATTAATGTCCAATATGTCTTCCTATCTTGTATTTCGAATACAACTTGACACTATAGTGTGTTTACTTGTCAGGTTTTACATTTGATTTTACTATTTTAATTTTTTTTTCTCCAAAAATATCAAATCAAAATTCAATTTTTATTTAGTTTATTAAACTGAAATCTAATTTTACATTCAAAACATCACATCAACACATATTTATATCACAATTTTTATTTTATTTTATTTTTTTATGCCACAAAAAAAAAAAAAAAAATCCAAAATATCTCAACATTCAAATAGCTTATTCTATCTATCATTCAGTTATGTTCATACTTTTCTTTTCAAGTTGTTCTAAAAAACATATTAAGTAATTAAAAAATACACGCTTATATAGTTATATTAAGACTTGGGTCGGAAAATATGAGAATACTTTTTGATACGTGATGAAGTACTCCTTCTTTTTTTTTTTTTTTTTTTTTTTTTTTTTTTACCAAAAGCATCGTAATATTGCATAATAAATAAATTTTAAATTTTCAAACAAAATCATACTTTAAATCATATGAGTTTATTTTACAAAAACAATAACTAAAATACATTTTTCACAACAGTAACAAAAAACAATAATATAAAAATATCACATCAAATATTTTTATTAAAAATAAATATAGTACTCCTATTTTATTTAGTTTATACAATAATTTTGAAGAATATGATATTATTTAATTTTTTTAAAAAACTATCACAAAATATTACATCAATAATTATTATTATTATTATTATTTTTCAAAAATATCCAGAAATGTCTAGTTAAAGGAAGCATCATAATTTATATATATATATTTTTTGTTTATTTTATCTCCTATTATTGATAACATTACACGTAATTTTAGTTTAAATATATTTTTTATTCAACTTGACATAGTACAAAATATTTATTTACTTTGAAAATTAGTTTTTTTATTTTTTTATTTATTTATTTTTTTTATTAGTTTTATAGCACCAAACACTCCCCAACAACGTGTTTAAGCAAATTTAGAAAATTCCTAACATAGGAATTTTTTTGCTCAATGATATAGGCTCTATCTTTGCTATATATTTTAAAATTTTGACACTGAATTTTCAAAGCATTATACATTGAATACATAATTTATAGTATAGAATATATAATTTGACACTAAATCAAATATTTTCTATTTATTTATTTATTTATTTTTATACAAGACAAAATCATAATTATTTTTTAAATACTAATTATTATATTAAAACTTAATGTAAATCAAAAAAAATAAAAATACTAACAGAATATTAGAATATAAACATAATGAAAATTATATAAAAAATTATAAAAATATAACAATATTTTTAAGGGCATGGATCAACTCGCTGATGCGATCAAATCATAATTATTTTTTAAATACTAATTATTATATTAAAACTTAATGTAAATCAAAAAAAATAAAAATACTAACAGAATATTAGAATATAAACATAATGAAAATTATATAAAAAATTATAAAAATATAACAATATTTTTAAGGGCATGGATCAACTTGCTGATGCTATCAAATCAGATCAACATATGTTATACAGACAGTAATAAACATATATTTATACATACTTATAATACAATATGTATTATATTATAAATCAGTTTAACTGTATTATGTATAAATTTAATCAATACATATCCGTTGTCTATTTTTAATATCAAGTACAATGACGCATAAGCAACTATATAATTTTTTACTTAGCCGAACTGAGAGTATTTGATATAATATTTTATATAAAAAAATACACATTTTTAAAAAAATGTAAAATTCAAATAATAAAACCACTGCGAAAATTAAAAGGTAACGAATAATTTTGAATTATTATTAGTTTTTAAGACCAGTAAAAACTAGTGTTTAATATAGCATTTTATGAAAAAAAATAAATTTAGTGTAATATTAAAATAAATTATTTTTTTCGCTTGCTAAATTTATGATCATTTCTTTTGTTCTTTTATAAATTACAAAGAAACAAAATAAAAATTTATGACGAAATTTTTGAAAATATAAAAAAACAAAAAAAATCCAAACTCCTATTTAACACCGTAATATATTTGCAAACAGTCCTTTTCGAGAATATTTTTTGTCGAAAACTTTTTGGTATGGTTTTTTCGTACTAAGCCTATTTGGCGTCACACTTTCAAATGCTCATAATTTCAAAAGGCTGAAGCAGAAATTTCAGTCTGCATATATTCTGCTGCACACATAAATACAAATTTCCCAATTACCCCCTCCTCTGACCCTTAACGCTCTGTTTGCCAGCGTCTTTTTGTTTTTGTTTTTTTCACTTTACTCCTTCCTCACGTTTCTCGCCTTTTTTGCACCAGTCCAAACGCGGCCTTAGCTCCGCCTCTATATTAAACCTCCCAAGCTTCACAGTTCAGTTCTGTGCCTTGACTGAAACTCTCTCTGTGCATTTGTTTTTTCATTTTCGTTTTCTTCTTTGGGCTCTCTGTTTTTGATCTCTAATGGAAGCTCTCAGCATACTGAAGTTCTGGAGAAATGCGGTGGTCGGAGGCTATGCGAGCTCTGAAGTGGACGAAGTGCGGAATGCGGCGTTTGTTACTGACGACGATGAAGAGACCGATGACGAAGAGTCGTTCTTCGATTTGGTTTTCAATTCGCCTGGTCGAGGTGCGGGCAAAGGAGGAGATGAGGTTTTGAAGAAGGATGCTCAGTTTATTGAGTCTCCGAGAGATGTTTTCCTGAGTAAGAATGACGATTCTGCCATTTCTAAGGCTATGTCTCCGGTTGCTATCCTGCGGTCGACTCCGAAGTTGAAGGTGTTCATGTTAGGCTTCAAAAAATCGTCGAAATGCGAGAGAGCTGAGTCGATTTCGGAGGCGAAGGGGAGTCCGTTGAATCAGTTCGCAAAATCATCTAAAATCGATGGAAGCAGCAACCGTTTCGCCGGGAAATGCAGAGTAGCTGAAATGCCCGCCGGTCCATTTCTTGCTAGAGATAATAGCTTGAGAAGCAAAATGCTGAAGGAAAATTTTGATTCCGAGGCTTCTGCTCACGTACTCTCCTCCGAAAAATCGGTTCCGAAGTATCTGAAGCTTATTAAGCCTTTCTACGTTAAGGCGTCGAAAAAGACGAAGCTAGCGGACTCTCCGACGCCGTCCTCTTCACCGATGACGATTCCGGTGAACCTTTCGCCTAAAAAATTCTCCGAGGGGAGTAGAGTGGGGAGCTTTAAGATCGCGACAAGGAACTTAGCTAAAATCCGATCCGCGGCGGTGGATCCGCCGTCTGTCCAACGGAGAGACGATTCCTTGCTCGAACAACACGACGGAATCCAAGGCGCCATTCTTCACTGTAAAAAATCATACAGTTCTTCATCCCAAGGTACACTAACTCATCCTCTCTTAATCAATAACTACAATAAAAATTCCTCTCCCATAATAAAATTCCTTACTAATTACTTTCCTTTTGATAAATCTCATCAGAATTCTCGCACTTATTCCGATCTTCAAGCGATCCTTCGCATCAGAATTCGAGATCCACATTAAGAACCTCGTGTGAGGAGCCAAAACGTTGCAGCATTTGAATAACTGCAGGCAGATAAAACGTGATAGCTTCCTTGAACAGGTAACAGTAAAAAGCCTTAAATGATGATGCTACGCTGACGTCATTTTCCGTGGCTATAATTATGGTAGGGTTGTATTTTTGACGCTTCTACTTTATGTAAAGAATCTGAAAATTTTAACGTGTATGTGCTGTGAGTAGTCTGAATTGTCCAATGAGTAGAATCTAGCTTCTGCTGTAGAAATTAATTTATTAATTAATCAAATCTCCTCTAATCCTTCCAACCTCTGCTCATGAACACAAAAACACACACACACACACATATATATGCATATTGTGAAATCTATAGTATAAATTTATGTGCAGTGATTTATTGAGGTGTTGGAATGATATGATTAAAGTTGTTTCGTGCACCTGAATCCTCATGATTTTAGATTTGTGAAATGAAATGAACATATATTGGATTGGATTGGATTGTTCTGCTTCAAATCAAAGGCATGATCATTTCCATTTATGGATTTCAATGATGCAAAATTCACTAGTTTGGTTATAAAGTGTCCTGTATGAAATCTCCAGTATCTTTTTCCCACTTTTGCCATATTAGCATTTTTATTTTTCACTTCCATTTTGTGAAATTCTTTTTAGCTTTGTACATCAGAAAAGCTAATTTTGAAACCATTTTAAGCTTTAGCAAAATGACATCGCCAAAGATAAAGAAGAAAAAGGAAAGGTATTATTGTGGACACCTCACCTCATACATTGATTCTGCTTTTGTTGCTGCTCATATTTCTTCCTTTTTTTTTTTTAACTGGTCTATATATTTATTATTCTTATACATCTCATTAAAATTAAATGTCCTTTGACTAGTAAAAAGAAAAATAAATCTTATTTTATATTTAGAGTTTGTTTGATTGTTATTATTAAAAATATATATTTACAATTCCATACTAAATATTATTTTTTATATTAGTGATATGGTTTTTAATATTTTCCTATTAAAAAATTAACAATTTAAAACTGAACTTGAAGCAGTCTTATTTTAACATAGTTTGCATATTAAGCAAGAAGTCCTTATCAATGGTGTTCGAGTCCGAGTGGTGTAATAGAATTTACATTGCCCACAACTTACGGCACGTGACGGGTCCGTGTCCAATAATTTAATTTGTGTTCTCGGGTTGGTTGGGAAGGTAATCCAGTAACACTATTATTAAATGGTGTATATACAACTATTTTATTAGATACAGATTTATGGTTTAGATGAATTAGAGATACTTACAAAATTATAAGTATTGCATTCAACACTTGTTTTTCAATATTAAATTTAAAATACTAGCTCAATTTTTTAATAATATTTTTACTAATCTTACAAACAATCCAACACACAAACATATCTAAGCCATATATTTTAACTTTTAATGGTCTGTACTACAAATATATATAGTTCAATAAAATTTATCATTTAACCAAAAATAAAATCAACATATATAAGAGACTATAATGTATTTAAAATTTGATTGTAATATAATTGCAATAATTTTTTATATAATAAATGTCTATTTAATTTATAGACAATTTATTTATAATAAATAGTTCTATTATCCATATTTTAAAAAATAATATTAAATTTGTCATACTTTTTATATTTCTTGCATCATTTTTTAACCAAATTTTTAATAAATTTCTTATAATACATTAACTTTTTTTTTTACCTATCTTATTTTTATATTAAAATATTACTCTATCCGTTCCAAAACAATAGTCTTGTTTACTATTTTTGTCCGTTTCAAAATAATAGTCTCATTTCTATAAATAATTATATCACTGTAAAAAACTACCCTTACTTTTTCATTATCACTACTACACTCACAATGATATAAAAGTCTTTTATCCGTCCTTGTTATCCACTACCAATATAATATCAATATTCCTTAAATGTCGTACCAAACACAACCCGAACTATAGTTTTGGAACGGAGGGAGCATTATTTTTAGTCTCCGTGTCCAAAAAAAATAGTATAATTTTCCCGGGGTAAGGAAAATGATTATTTTAAAAGGTAAAAAAAAGGAAAAACATTACTTTCTGTCATGAAAATATACTCTTTTTTTTGTCTGTTATAAAAAAAATACTTAGTTTTATTTTTCTAGCAAAAATATAATATTAGTTTTTATTATAAAAAAAATTATTATAATACCTACCATAAATAAATATTTTATTTTTCAATAAAAGTGAAAATATGTAATAAAAATAGTTATATGTTATACTTTAGGCCCATTATAAATATATGCCCATTCGAGAGGTAGGCTACATAACCTAATCAATTGGGTCCATTATATTTTATACTTTAGGCCCTTTATACATGGCCCACACAATGCAGCTTTTGAAAATAATTTACCTTTATTTTTTTTCAAAATAATTTTATACATTAATAAAAAGGAGAAAAATAAAATCATCAATAAATAAACGTAATTTAAAAATATTTTTAAAAATTTTTAAAGTTGGATATTTCGGAAAATTTTAAAATAATAAAAGGTTTTATATTTTATTTGATACTATATATATATATTGATGCCATTTTTTTTTAAATTAAAAATAAATTACTTGATTAATAGTATTAAAATTTTTTAAAAGTATTTATGTAAATAAAACCTTATATTGTTATTGATAGTTATATTACTCTCTTTGTCTAGACTCAATATATTCATTTACTCTTTAATAGTAAATTTTCAAAACAATTGTATTATTGTAATAAGAATTAAAATATAAGATCTTATACATGGAAATTATAATTATTACATAATAAAATGAATTAATTTTGTACATGTCAAATGATAAAATAAATTAATTAATCTTGGACGGGAATAATATGATTCTGTTTATTTTAAATCTTTTAAAAAATAATAAATAGTATTTAATGTAATATTTATTTAAAAGAATATATTTAATATTATATTTTAAATAATTTAAATAGCATTACAATAAAATAATGTCTAAACAAACCACAGAAAATTTAAAATAAAAAAAAAAAAGAAAAATATTGTGATTTTATCCTTTCTATTTTTTTTTCTTTCAATGTCTTTTCAAAAATATTTATATACTATACATATTTATTATTTCTAAAAAAAAATATTCCAAATATTTTCGCAAAACAATACTTTTAAAATGGTAAAAGTTCAAAAGAGAGGCATGGTCCACCATTCATCTGCGGCCACGTGGCGACCAAAAAATCAACTCTCATGTAAGCACGTTCTTTTCAACGTCGATGTGACGCCGTCACCTTTATTGTGAAGATTCAGACTTTAGAGTTAGCTAATTGTAATTTTAAAATATTATTCATCCGTCCAGCTATAAAGAATACATATTTTTATTTTGGAACGTTCAATTACAAAGTAATTATTTCATTAAATATCCCATTTTTTCCACAAATATCCTTATTTTACATCACATCATTACTTTTATACCAAAAAACAAAGACAAAAATATCATTACACTGCACTATAATTAAAATACTGTTATTTCTTAAATTCCGTCCCAAAAGTAAATGTATACTTTATCTGTGGACAGAGGGAGTACTTGTTTTAGTTTACATATGAAATTTTAAAAGAATGTAATTAATAAATAATTATAAATATATTATAGTAGTACTCCATTCGTCTTATATAATTTGTCTTTATTTTATATTTTTGTCTATTTTATATAATTTGTTTTTTAATTAATTATATACTTTAATTATATTTTAAATTTTAATTAAATTATTTAGGTATCTTAATATATAATTATTTTTACTAATATATTTTTTAATTACTTACTAATTATATTTTACTTTTAAATTTTTGTATTTACAATATCACATCCATTTTATCTAGGATGAAGAGAGTGCTGTATTTCATAAAAAAAAAAAAAATACTAATTCAGACATTCTTAAAAAAAAACACAAATTTAAATTTATTCAGCAGCTAGATTGCGAAAAAGAATTTATGTGGCGACAACCTAACGAAAATCCTAACGCCGTTAACTGATACTAACATTCGTTAAACCTCGAACGTATAAATGCAGATTTGGTTTTCTGACCTCGATTTCCGTTACAAATAAAAAAATCACACTAGCTACGGATTCTCCCGAACCTGAGCTTCGGGGATTATTCCGAACCTCAATACATTTAAGAGAGGTTCACACCTCCCTCCTGTCTTCCTCTGCATTTTAATTTCGTGCAAACCGGCGACTTAAAATTCTATCGGCGTACGGCGGCGTTTGGAGATCGGAGATTCGAGTAATGGCAGATCATACTGAAGAGCACGAGAAGGAAGAGCCTGTAGCTGAAACTACAGTTGAAAAATCCACCGAGAAATCACCCGGTAGCGATTCGTCGTCGTCGTCGTCGTCTTCCTCCGATTCCGAGGATGAAAAGGACTCCAAATCGGAGTCGTCTGTGGCGAATTCGAAGATCTACCGTCTGTTCGGCCGGGAAAAGTCAGTGCACAAAGTTCTCGGCGGTGGAAAACGTAACTAACCTTTTTCCACCCTTTTAAAACTTTGTTACGTTTGAAGCATGCGTTTATAATGCTGTGTTTGGATTTCATTGTGCTTGGATATCATTATTATGTTCTTATTTTGATTCTTCTATTTAGACTTGCAGGTTGTGAGGTTTTGATCTAAATGTGCACTGACTGTAGATACATATATGTTTGTTTATCAAAGATGTTGTGCCTAATGCTAACCTGGAGTGTAAATGATGGTAAATTTGCTGTGGAGGTGAAGTTTATGCTAGATCTATCTGACCCTGGTTTCCAAGTTAATGGTGTGTTGTTTGTGTTTGCAAAGTTTGCTATTATTAGATGGTGTGTTTGATTGTAATGATAGATTTCTAACCATAAGTTAAGGATCACTTTCACAAAATTAAGTTAAGGATCACTTTCACAAAATGAAACTCGAACCGAACTTCGAACCAAAAGTCTGATTTTAGGTTAACCTAAGAAATCCAATTCAAATACTATTATTATATTTTGATTCAATTTGATTTGATTTTGATTCTTAATGTTTTTGGTTAACTAAATCAAGTTTATTATTATTATATTTTTAAAAAAATTGTTGCTATTATTTATGTTAATATGCTTGCCCAATTAAATACTCCCTACCTCTCGGTTTAGAGGGGGACTTTGTAGTAAATTAAAAAATAATAATATTTTATTAGTCAGTGTAAAAAGTAATGGTAAGTGTAATAGTATGTTTGTAATTTTGGTAAAAATCAAGGGTTATTTGGTATTAGTGTATGCTTATTTTTACAATAAGAAAGAGATATTTTGGAGTGCGGACTAAAAAGGTAAAAAGGGTACTTTGAGTTGGGACCGAGAAATATATATCTACTTTTAGTTCGATTTTATTTTGTTTGAAATATTTGCAAATAATTAATTTGAATTTTGATTATTTATTAGATGTATATTTTTTTTAATTTGGTTTGATTTGAACTATTTAAATGTTTTAGATTAACTTAAAATTTTGGTTCAAATACCTTATTAGGTTTCAAGTATTTGTTTAATTCGATTTGAATACTGAATATTTACAAATAATTGAACTATGCCCACCCCTAAATACACGTGCATACTCTTAGAACTCTTATAAGCAACCAATATACTCATGAAGCAAAGATCATGTATTGATATAAATGTTTACATTTATTATGGATTTTGATTTCCCGGCAGCTGCCGACATTTTCCTGTGGAGGGAGAAGAAGGTTTCCGCAAGCGCTCTTGGTGTCACGACGGCAATTTGGGTGTTATTTGAAGTGCTTGAGTATCACCTGCTTACATTTATTTGCCATATCCTAATTCTTGGTCTAGCAATCCTTTACTTATGGTCGAACACATCCTCCTTTATCAACAAGTATGGTTCTTGATCCAGACCATCGGTGTATTATTTGTACACTTTCCGGATTGTTTTACCACAAAGTTCATTCTTTTGTAGGTCTCCAGTCAATATCCCCAAAGTCGTTATTCCTGAAGATATTGTTGTGCGTGTAGCATCACCGCTTAGGGTTGAATTGAATCGAGCTTTGGCATTCCTCCGAGAGATTGCTTCTGGGCGAGGAGACTTGAAGACATTCCTCTCGGTATGTTGTTTGTTATTCATGCCATAATTTATCTTGTTTCTATTATATACGGCAACTTCTGTTGAAGTTTGCCGTATATTTTCTAAAAAGTTGCAATTACTGTTATTAAAATATGAAATTGAAATTCTCTATTTCAATCGTAAGAATACATACATATTTATAATATATAAATTGTCTAAATAAGACAAGAATCCTATAAATACAGTATATGATTTTGGATTTTTCAGGTGATCGCAGGGCTTTGGGTTATTTCAATCTTGGGATGCTGCGCCAACTTCCTCACCCTATTTTACATATGTAATTTGTGCTTTTCCTTCCCCACAAATGGTTCTTGTGTTGATATTTATTATACTCGATTATAGTTTTTTTTTAAAATGTTTCTCGGCTGGTTATCCATACAGGCTTTGTGATTCTGGTGACGGTGCCCGTACTCTATGAAAAATATGAGATCCAAATTGATGCTCTTGCGGAGAAGGCCGAGGCTGAAGTGAAGAAACAATATGGTGTGCTCAAGGCTAAATATTTGAGCAAAATCCCTACAGGTGCTCTCAAAGGTAAGAAGTTCGCCTAGAACCCATTTTAATGTGTCATGTAATTGATCTTACCTTATGTGGGGGGCAAGTTTTGAATTTGTTTTGTTACCACTAAATGTGATCAAATGCACACACGTGCACGTATCTTTTGATTCTCGATTATTGATTATTGTAATGTTAAAATGAATGATTGTGTGATTATTATTATTAACCATTAAGGGCTTCAAACATCATACAAAGGTTGCTGATGCATATGTTTATACATCTCTCCGTATATATTATATTATGTTACAAGTAAATATGCTGAAATATATATATAAATATATGTTGATCACTCTGATAGAGTATGTTAATTGATCCCATCGGCCGTTGATCTATGCCTTCGGCTCAAACATAAGGCATTTATGATGTTGATTAGGATTAATTAGTACTCCCTCCGTCCCAAAAGTATAGTCGTGTTGTGTTGGGCATTGAATTTAAAAAATATTGATATTATATTGGTAATCGGTAAAAAATAATTTTTTGTCCTTATGAGTATATTAGTGTAAAAAGTAGTGGCAATTGTATAATAATAATAAAATAATAAAGATAGTTTTACGGTGATATGATTATTTATGAAAATGAGATTATTATTTTAGAACGGACAAAAATAGTAAATAAGACTATTGTATTGAGACGGATGGAGTATATAAAAATAATAGTATATCGAATACGTATCCGATGGAGTTAACATATACTAATAAATACAGTACATAGTTGAAGTGATAGTTCATAATCGATTTGGGTATTAAAATTAATAGTACATATTATACATGGTTGTAAATACTACTCGTAATTAAGTAATTCTGGGATAGGCCCACAGCTTGAGGGCAGACATATCAATCTCATCCATGTCTTCTACGTCGCTGTCACTCCCACTTTCAGAATCCCAACATATATCCCCATCCACAATGTACTCAAAAACCTGCCAAAACCCCCAACACACCAACATCAACAGGGATGATGATGATGGTAAATTTTCGACATTAAAAAAAAAAAAAAAAAAAAAAAAAAAAAAAAAAAAAAGAAAAAGAAAAAAACTCTAACCACATGGATGTCATCTTCTAACCCTTTTAATCTACTCCATTGGTCCAGTCCCATACATTGAAAAACTAGAAACTCTCTATTACTTACAACGCTAAAAAAATTACTAAATTACTTGTACCGATTGATTTTAAATTGGAACAAATATGAGAGCCATGAAATCGTTGAATATTGTTCCATATAGGAAAGATGTGAAACTCCTTATTTCTTATAAGGATGAAGAGCTAGTAAACTTTAACTTAAAAATAAAAATAAAAAATCTTACAATTTATACTTCATTCATCCAGGGTGAATGTGGCACTTAAAGTGTGTAAATTTTTTTTTGACGAAAATGATAAAAAAAATACGTTGAGTTGCGATGAGGGAATATATTATTACAAAAATATCATTTTAAAAATAAGAAAAAAATATTTTGAAGTGAAGACGGACAAAAATGGTAAAATAGATACTTTGAGTATGAAGTAGTATTTTTTAATTGAAAACAAGACTGAATAGTAGAGGTGGGCAAAAAAATCGAATCGAACCGAATTTTCGGTTAACCGAGCAAATTCGGTTCGAATACAAATACTGCATATTTGATATTTGTTCGGTTCGGTTCGATTTCGATTTTTAATATTTTTTTCGATTCGGTTTCGGTTTGGATATTTGCAAATATTTTGATTTAATTAGAATTTTAATTATTTTTTAATATATTATTCTTTACTTTCAGTTCGGTTCAAATTATTTGCAAATACCGTAAATATTTTCGATAAACCGAAATTTTCGGTTCGAATACAGTTCGCAGTTTTTGGTATTTGTTCGGTTCGGTTCGATTCGGATATCAAATACTTGCGTATTTGCAAATATCCGAACCGTGCCCACCGTAGGGGTGATTTTGATTTCAAATAGAAACCAAACACACTTCTATCGAGTCAAGTTCATCTACTCGATCAAGGATTTGATCTTGACTCAATTTAACTCGAATCAAGGCTATATCCCCACCCCTACGCCCTCTCTCACACAATGTACACATATACATACACTTTACTGTATATATATATACATATACACACAAGCAGCGGTAGGGGTAAGAAAGGGGAAGAGGATCCCTCCATAGCCAAAATCGCATATCAGTCTACTTAAGAATAAAGAGCACACCTTTTGTGTGGACATCGGCTTGATCCGGCAGCAATGTCTAATCAAACAATCGCTGCTGCTTAGCCATAAAACCGAAAAGCAACTTCTGCAGTACCCTCTATTCGAATTGAATTTTCCGAACGACTCTGCATTATACATCAAAGAATCGGATCACAAACAATGCACCTCAGTTTAGTTTATTTTGATCGATAATACATAGCAGTGATAAGATACCTTTATATGCAGTTTTGTATGCGCGCCTCCACTCATCCCCGACAAAATTTAATCGATTGGTGTGCTTAGCATTGTATGAATTGCGGAAGAAAGAATTATATAACCGTTTCCATAAATGGCTGTCGCAAGCTGCAACATTCCACGACCTGTAGGAAACTGGTTAGATTCTGTTTACATAAACGAATTTAGAATTTTTCGCAATGTTTATCAACAATAATTTGTTTTAGAAAAACATCGATCAAATATATATTTTTCCTCTTCCGAAACATCGCATCAAATATCATCATTTTACTATTTTCAAAATTGTCTAAAACTCTAAAACTTTTATCTAAACTAAGCATTAGGAAATCGATAGAACAATTAATTACCAGCATACTGAAGAAGCAGAGACTAGAGACTGCACATCCAAGAAGCTAAATATATGTACAAGGACATCCTGCGGCAGTGGATCCGATCCTGCCATTGAAGAAATAATAAGACATTGTGAGAAAGTTTTAATGCAATGAACAGAGAAATGGATGATAGTTGCTCTGTGTTGAAATTTTTTTGAATAAAAAAATCCTAAAATGTTTCAAAACCACAGCCAATGTGCGAAGTTGAAGTAGCATCTGTGTAGATTGCTAAGGCAGAATCGATGGCGAACTAAATTGAGGTTTATGTATGGAATCTCTACAATGAAACGAACATGAAAACAGCGTAAATTCCAAAGGAATGCTCCGTGAGAGTTATTTGCAACATCCAAAACCAACAGGATATCAATAATCTACACACGAATCTATGGATTTTAGACTTGGAACTGATTTGAATGGCAGAAGAATGTTCGTTATCGTTTGTAACCGATCAGAATTGGCCTGAAATTTCTTCGATTCGAACTGTTATTTTTGGAATTTTCATTACTCAAACAAACGAATCAAACCTCAAATGTAATTCCACATAAAAGATCAAATAACCTAACCTGGTTCCTCACTGGTTGCCTTCGATTTTCTCTTACTTGCAACAACAGCATTCTTGTGCTCCTTAACCGCCACTGCTCGTTTTTGCTTTGGCAAAGAAGACTCCGCGCTTTGCAAAAGCAAATTAGCTGCTGAAATTGCAGACTGCATCTGCATCCTGAATTTCATAGAAACAGAAACAGAAACCAAAATCAAATCGGTACTGAAATACAATAAAAATCCAGAATCAACTGTAACGCTGCTTGTATTAGAAGCACCGATGAGGATTGGATGTGGCTTACGCTGGGAGAAGGGTGAATGCGAAGATAGCGTCATAAAATACGAGCGACTGAAGATTTTTGGGGAATTTTGAATATCCATTCTTCAAAATAAAGCTCAATTCCCTGCAGGCGGAGACGTATTGAGAGGATTTCGCGAGCGATTCCCTGAGCCTCAATGATTCGTATCGATCGATCAGATTGCCGTCGGCCCTTCGATTCGGCGCCCCCATTGGAAGAACTGAAAATTTCTTTGCAGGAAATCGAGAACACGAATTTCACAGGATTTTCGGAGGAGATGAATTTTTTATTTTATATTATGAAATTTAATTATATACTCCATATATTGATAAAGTTTTTGTACTTTGGTCCCCCGAATTATACGTAATACGAGAAGTGACCCTCTGTTGGTAAGTATATTGGGTCTTATTTCACGTAGGCCCATAAAAATGGGCTTTAGTATATTTGCCCAACAAAGATTGGGCTCACAGTAAGAAGTTGTTTAGTATATTTAAATGTATACTTTAATCCAAGAGAGCATTAAATTAAATTTTTGTAACAATTTATATTATGCTCCCTCGGTCGCATCAAATGCGTTCGTGTTTTGTTCATGTTCATCTCACATCAAACATCGTACATTTTGTTTATTTATTTAAAATATTATACATTTTAAATTTTATTTATAATTATTTGTACTATAATATAAATTTTTTTTAGTAATATATTATTATTTATTAATTATATTCTTTCAAAGTTTTCGTATTTATCGTAACTGTCACATTGTAAGTGGGTCCAAAAAAACAAAGAAAATACCAGTTTAAGAAATAATGTGTTAGATAGTTAATTAGTTTGATTAATTGATATAATAATACGTTATATTAAATATTTTTTATTTAATAAAATATTAAATTAAAAGTTAAAATATTTTTTATTTTCATTTTTAAATATTAAATTTTTAGATGTTATTTAAAAAATAATAATAATAATTGTATTTATTGTAGATCAATACATGCATTTAGATAAAAAAAAAAAATTAATAAATTAAATGTAATTTATATAATAAAAAATGTAATAAAATAAATTATATAAACAATACATAAAATTTTTTGAATTTGGTTATTGTTAGAGATAGTTCGTTATGATATATCAAATTTAATACCACATGGCATACGTACGGTACAAAATTTTTGGTAAGATATTTTACCGTACTGTACAAATATTTTGGTATACCGAATTTGCGAAATAAAAATACTGAATTACGGAAATAACATGCATACTCGTAAAAAAATACAGAAAAATTTTTAAAATTTCGATACAATATGACTTTTTTTGTATGATAACGATATACAATAAGATATTTTCAGTATATATAGGTAATTAAAAAAAATTAGAATTTTTGTATATACTGATTATTTGATACAATATCGATATATTTTTTTAATAAATTAAAAAATTTGGTACGGTATACAATATATTTCGATATTTTCGATATACTATTTCAAACCATCTCTAACTGAATTGTATACACGGTATTAGAATATAATATTTTACGTCAAATACCAAAATTGAAAATAAGTATATAATTTTGCATTATAAATAAGTTCTATTTTTTTATTTTTTTTGAACAAAGAAAAAAAAAATAATATCAAATCTCATTTTTAATTAATTTTTCAACCATAAATTTTCAAATCAAACATCAAATTTTTATTATATATTACATCAAAATTTAATTTTAAAATTAAATGAATATTTATTTATATAATATTAAATATTTATTTTATTTTTATTATTCAAAATTTTAATTCAACTTCTAAATTTACAATTAAAAAATAATAAAATTAAAGATATTAGTAAGTTAATAAAATATAGTTAAGTTTTATGAATAAAAAGTATTAGTTATCAATTATTATTGTAATAGGAAAGTCAGACTAATTTTGTGGTATGGCTAAAATAGAAAAAATGAACTAATTTGGTAGGACGGAAGGAGTAGTAAACAATACTAAATACTAAGGACAAAACACTCTTGTTGTTTATTTAGTATTTTCATCATCAGGGAGATATACGAAATTACGTAGGTAAAGTAAAAATAATATTTTTATTAAATATTAATTTTTTGTGAGATAATAATATATATACTTATCTATTTTTTTTTAGTAAATATACTGTCCACCTAACATTACAAATATTTTTACAACTTACAATATATTATACAAATATCATTATCTTTATATCATATATATTAATAAAGTTATTTTAATTATTTTTATTTTATTTCTAATATAATATTATTATTTTTAAAACTTCGTATAAAAAAAAATAAATATTTAATTATGGGAAAAAAGAAGAATATATATTTAATTATGTCGAAAAAAAAAACAGAAATAAACATTGTTGGTAGGACAAACCTTATAAAGGTCATAGACCATATATAATTTGAAATGTGAAGGTGTTTTGTTGATTGATCTCATCGTTCATAGTCGTACACTCACAATCACCAAGTGTGAAAATTCATTCAGAAAACTCATCCATGGAAGAAAAAACCCTAAATCAGATGACACGTGTCAGCCCCTCAGTCATCGTCTCCAGCCGACCACAGCCATTTCCATCCTTTTTTTTCAAGGTGCAGCTCACCAACCACTGCCCACGTGTCCTCCCCCTTCTCTCTCATAAATAACGCAACTACTCGCAAGCCAACCCTTTGTCCGAATTCCACCACTATTTATTCAATTTTCAATTTTTTTAAAAAAAATTTATTATTATTTCTGCTAATTTCAATTCAATGTTCCGATTATATCCCTTCGCGGTTTTCTTCCTTACGCTATTCGGGTCCATCTCGGCGGGTCGGGTCGACCCCGGCTCGAGATTGATCGCCGGCGAGAACCGAGCTTGGGTTTCCGACAACGGTACGTTCGCATTTGGGTTTTTGCCGGCGGCGAATTCGAACAACGATCGATTTCAGTTAGGGATTTGGTTCGCGAATCTTCCTGGGGATCGAATCCTTGTCTGGTCGGCTAATCTGTAAGTATTTAATTTGGATAAATTTATGGATAATCTTAATTTGGACAAAAAAAAAATCAAAATTTCTGAATAATCGAAATAGAAATTCTCCAGTCACCAAAGGCGCCACGCTGGAATTCACCGGCCGCCTCGAGCTCCGCGACGGCGGCGGCGGCGCCGTCTGGACGTCGAACGCCACCACTCCCCCGGCGGAGGCGGCGGTCATGTCGGAGAACGGCAACCTCATCCTGTACGGACCCGAACAAAGTATTACGTGGCAGAGTTTTTCCCACCCGTCGGACACGCTCCTCCCCGGCCAACCTTTGACGGCGGCGCTACAGCTCCGGTCGGCGAAATCGCCGCCGGAGGAAGGATACTACACGCTGAAAATGCTGCAGCAGCCGACCTCGCTCAGCCTGGCGCTGACCTACAACTTGCCGGAGGTCGCCGGAGCGCCGCCGCCGGAAATCGAGCCGGCGGCAAACCTGTCGTATTGGACGGGACCCGACATATCGAACGTGACTGGAGACGTCGTCGCCGTTCTCGGCGAAGGCGGCAGCTTCGGGATTGTGTATGGCTCTGCCGCCGACGGTGCGGTGTACGTCTACAAGAATGTCGGCGACCGGGGAGGGCTATCGGCGGCCATAAATACGAAAGGCCGTCCTGCCGTTCTCCGGCGACTAATACTCGAAGCTAACGGAAACCTCCGGTTGTACCGGTGGGACAACGACGTCAACGGGTCCCGCCAGTGGGTCGCCGAGTGGGCTGCAGTGTCGAAGCCGTGCGACATCGCTGGAATTTGCGGCAACGGGATATGCAACCTCGACCGGAGCAAGACGAATGCATCTTGCACGTGCCTTCCGGGGACATCGAAACACGGCGATGATGACAGTCATTGCTCGGGGAATTCGACGGTGATCGGAAAATGTGGGCCCCGCCGCGAGAACTTAGCGTCGGATTTAACGATCTCCGCCGTCCAACAAACGAGCTACTATTTCTCCGGCTCCGCCGTCATCGCGAACTATAGCGACATATCGGGAGTGTCGAAATGCGGCGACGCGTGCTTGTCTGATTGCGAATGCGTCGCCTCCGTTTACGGGTTGAGCGAGGAGAAGCCGTATTGTTGGGTTTTGCGGCGACTCGAATTTGGCGGGTACGAGGATACGGGCTCGACTCTATTCATTAAGGTCGAGTCCGACAACGATGGCGACAACGGATTAGACGGTAAAACAGGGAAGGTTTTGGTGCTTCCGATAGTCCTAAGTATGACGGTTTTAATAGCGTTGCTCGTGTGCTTGTTGTATATGAACGTCCATCGTAAACGAGCCTTAAAGAAGGCTCTAGAAACTTCCGGAATCATCTCCGGCGGGCCAATGAAGTTCACCTACCGCGATCTACAAAACCGTACGCGAAACTTCTCCGAGCTACTTGGGATCGGCGGGTTTGGAAGCGTATATAAAGGAAATTCATCCGACGGGTCACTGATCGCTGTGAAAAAGCTCGACCGGGTTTTACCACACGGCGAGAAGGAATTCGTCACCGAAGTGAACACGATTAGCTCGATGCACCACATGAACTTAGTCCGACTATGCGGGTATTGCTCCGAGGGCTCGTCCCGGCTTCTCGTCTACGAGTACATGAAAAACGGGTCGTTAGACAAGTGGATATTCCCGTCGGGCGGTCGAGACGCGCCCGACAGGCTACTCGACTGGCCGACGCGATTCTACATTGCGATCGGCACGGCTCGAGGGATCGCGTATTTCCACGAGCAATGCCGGGACAGGATCATACACTGTGATATCAAGCCGGAAAACATACTGCTCGACGAGAATTTCTGCCCGAAAGTGTCAGACTTTGGGTTAGCGAAGCTGATGGGTCGGGAGGCGTCACGCGTCGTGACAATGGTCCGCGGGACGCGCGGATACCTCGCGCCGGAGTGGGTTAGCAACCGGCCGATCACGGTGAAGGCCGACGTCTATAGCTACGGAATGCTGCTGTTGGAGATCATCGGCGGGCGGAGAAATCTCGACATGTCGTACGACGCCGACGATTTTTTCTACCCGGGTTGGGCGTTTAAGGAATTGAGCGGCAGCGCAGCGGTGAAGGCGGCGGACCGGCGGCTCGAGGGGGCGGTGGTGGTGGAGGAGGTGGAGAGGGCTTTGAAAACGGCGTTTTGGTGTATTCAAGACGAGATTGCGGTGCGGCCGACGATGGGGGAGGTGGTGAAGATGCTGGAGGGGGCGGCGGCGGTGAGAATGCCGCCGATGCCGCAGGCGGTGGTGGAGCTGGTGGAGGAAGGGTTGGATCATGTGTACCGAGCTATGAAGAGGGAGTTGAATCCGTTAAGTTCTTTTACCGTTACGACGCAGCCGTCGTCGAATGCCACGTGTAGCTATTCCACCATGTCACCGAGGTGAGGTGACGTGGATTTTTAATTAATTTTTTTAAATGTGATTTATTGTTTTGTAGTTGGAAAAGGAAATCCACGTGTCACTAAAGCCATTGTATTGTAATGTCCATGTTTTTTAGGACTCGATTTCGTAGTGGTTGAGTGTATATTTTGGGTTGGTTTGAATTAGTTTTGGATTTTTAGTTTTAAATTGATTTGATGACATATTTTTGGAGTGAATACAGTATTTTTACACGAATTTGTATGAGTTGAATAGTGAGGAATTAAAAATAAAACTTCAAGTAAATTTCTTTTGTATCTAAAATGTTTTATATTTATTTTTTAAATACAAAAATAATTGTTGAATATGAGTATTAAAAACATATATATACAAAAATTGGCTAAATTGGATAGATTGTGCAAAAACTCATATAAAATGAGTATTTTCTTTCTGCCCGAATAAAATGAAAAAATAAAATAAAATAAAATTTGATACAATATTTTTATATAATTTTTTTTAAGTATATTATTCATTTCGGTTTAATTCAAATTATTTTTTACTTTTTTTAATTTATTTTTTTAAAATTAATTATATATTAATATCAAAATATTATTTAATTTTTACATAAACTACTTTATATAAAAATCATCTCAACTTCCTGACCAATTACATAATTATTATTATTTATAATTTCCTTACAAAAGTGAACTTTTCAACTTTCACTAACTAATTAAATAATTATTATTATTTTTAATTTATTTACATAACTGAGCTTTTTTAATTAAAATTAAAGAAATACTTCCTCAGCTAGTATACATATTTTTATGTTGGACGTCTAATTACAGAGTAATTATTTTATTAAATGTCCAATTTTTTTCACAAATATCTTTACTTTACATCAGATCGTTACTTTTATACAAGTAAGGACAAAAATATCATTACATTATTTTTACCTAGATACTATAATTAGAATACTATTATTTTTTAAACTCCGCACCAAAATATACTTATTGTGCGGACGGAGGGAGTATAATTTTTAATAAAAAATCTTATTTATCTTAATAAATATTTTTAAATTTTATTTTAAAAAAATAATAAATTCAAACTAATTTTCATCAATTTCTTTCTTTTTGTTTAGAAAAAAAAAAAAGAAGCAACATCAACACAATTATTGCCGATTATTCTTGTAAGCATGTTTTTTATTAGTTGGTAGCATAGGCCATAGCCTATTGTTGTTGCAAAGACGGCAGAAAAGCATTGGTAAATCTGAAGAAGAAAGAATCGTCAGTTGAGTTGAGTTGAGAGTTCAGTTGGGGTTTTGGCGATGGAGCAGATGAAATTCGCGGAGGAGCTCGTCCGAGAGTTCCTCGTCTTCAGAGGATTCACCAATGCTCTACAGGCCTTCGACAACGAGCTTGCAACCGACATCGGCAAGGGATTTCAGGTCGACAAGATATTAGACCTCATTTTCTCCGTTTACATCCCCAAATTCCAGGCCGATAACCTCCTCGATTTGCTCCTTTTTTTTCGAAACTGCTTCACCTACCACGATTCGAGTCTGATTTCCGTGATTTCGAAGCTGGACCAGTCCATTCTGCGTTATTACATCGTCAATGCGCTCAAAAGTGGGAGGAAGGACAAGGTGTTGGAATTTTTTGCGGTTTACGGCAATGATTTGCTGCGTAGAGACGATAGTTGGACCTCCTGGTTTGGTGAGTGTGTAATCAATTATTATTATTGTTTTCTTTTGAAACGGATGCGATCTTTTGGGGATTGGTTTAATGATTTGTGTTCGTTGGTCGCAGCGATTCCGTATTTGCAGAATCCGCATTTGGATCCGCAGTTTCGAGTGTATTTCTCAGACGAGTGGTTTCGTGCTCTACACCTTTCGATTAGGAATTTCTTGAGTGAGATGCTAAATGGTACCCATATCCTTGAGAGAAGATTCATGAATTTATTGCTTGTTAATTGCAGTTCATGATATATACATACAACTTTTTTGTGTTCGAAATGGTTAATACAATTATACAAATGCTGTTTGTTCAATAGAATTGAAATAGAAATGTTATATATTTGCAGCCACAATCAACCACCTGTGATATTGTATCTCTTTGGTCATTGTTCAAGCGCAGGGAATTTTATAGAGTTCTTTCTTTTGTAGTTTTTCTAAATTTTTTTATACGCCATTTATTTGGTTTTGGGAGGGTTAGTTCACTATATCCATTTGGAGCATTTGTGTTGTATTTTATTTATATGAAGGGCTTGAAAAAAGAATTTCTACTTACCTTATTTGATTTGTTATTTGTTGGTAGCCAAGAACCATATCTGTAAATTTATAGAAGTGATCATGGATGTATGGGGTAATTGTTTGTTATTTGATGGTATGAACTGCAGAATTAGCTGGCTTTAATTGATATATTATCTTGAGTGACTCAGTTCAATCAGCTGATATCAGTGAGGTCTAAAATTTTAAGTTACTGAATATTTTGGAATTGAATATACCTAATCGTTTGTATTATGTAAAAAATGATGATTTTGTGCTTTCTGTGTGTTCGGATGGACCATGGCTATAGATTTATAACTTTCCTTAGCTTATCTACGTACCCCTGCCATATTGAAGATCAGTCGTGAAAGGGATACAGTGAACAATCTTAAGAAAGAGATTAAGCAACTTAACCTCAAGCTATCACAACTTCAGGCTTTGTTGGAGGAAAAAGATGCACTGTTGCGGCTGTCAAGGAGGTGATCTTTATTTTTAATCATTCATCAAACTTTTGTTTTTGTATAAATGAAATAAATAAATAAATTGAGTGCTTTCTAGCTACTAATCAATAATTGTAAGTTTTTATTTTAGCGCTGCAGGGGAAGCTATGTTTTCATCTAGATTACCCCACAAAACAGATAGGAACCCCATGCTACAAACGGAAGGAGAGTTTTCTCGTAATCAGGATGGCATTCAAGTGATGGAGTCTCATGTTTCAAGAGCTAAATATAATGATCATTCCGATGAGAGTAGTATTATTAGTGAGACTCGCCAATCTTTAGCAGACAACCCTGTTGTTGGTAAGTTTCAACTAGAGTTTTTGCTGTAGTATGATGTAGGTTAAGATGATATAATCATTATACGAGTTTGTAGGACATTGTGATTTTAAGTCCAAAGATATTTATGGTGAGTGTTGTGATCGGCTAACTTTCATTTTATCTAGTGAATCAGTGTGAAACTGGTATATGGGGTAGTTTATAAATTATAGACAGATAAAGACCTTTCTTGCTTTGAACGTCATACTTATGTATAAAATTTCCATGATAGGTGGTTATGATTTAGAGAATGAAGAAAATTTTCCAGAAGTAAAGGCAGTGTTTCAGGTAAAGTTTTTAAGGATAAATTGCTCTTAAGCTTCCATATGTTTTTCTCCACCACTTTGAATGATGTTGCCTGTCTTAAAATTTTGTGTGTTTTTATGAAATCTTTCTTTTGCAGGATTCATTCTTAGGCCACACAAGCCCAATCAGTCGTAGCCGCTTTTCTGCGTCAGGGGACAATATTGCTAGTGCTTCAGTTGATGGTACCGTTAGGTATTGTATTGAAACTCATACTACACTTTAAGAGACCTCTCATGCATCCACCACATAAATCGTGCAAGCTCAATTAGCATATATCAAGGAATCCAAAATGGTTCTATTTGCACATTGAAGGGTTTATTGTACATTATTACATGATTTCTATGGAGATTTGTTCCCGAAATATGATCTGTTTATTGAAGAAATAATTGGGGCCAGTGGAAGAGGGCTTAGCATACCGCAGAATCATGTATATGTTCAAATTTGTAATCCATAACACTTAACTAAATCAGATATGCATTCCGTAAAACTTTTGGCTATGTGTTGACTACTATTGAATACCTTTTGTGTCTCATTTCCATTACTCACCTATGATTATGCATTTTTCAAGGATATGGACCTATGATTCTTCAGCGCCAACTTCTCGAAATGCAACCATCTATTGTGGAGCTGAGATCATGTCTCTTGAGTGGGACTGCAAATCTGATCGTTTGGTATGTTGCTGAGTCTTATGGCTAACCATGGTGACATTTGGAGTTTATAATTTTCTGTTGCAATGTTATAAAATATATATATCTATTGAAGCGGATTGGCATTTGATGCTTTTCTTGATTTTCGATTTGATTAAGCTGCTGATAGGGACTTCTAATGGAGGTATTAAAGCATGGAATGTAGATGCTAAGCGAGTTGTGTGCGATCTCAACTTAACCGGAGCTCCAAGGTTCGTTTGTCATTCCTTTCATTCGTCTACGCTTTCTCCTCCTGCTGTTGATTGCCTTGCTTATTTCCCATTTACCTTTTAAACTTTTGCTGGATTAATGCGATAAACTTTCTCGCATGATCTCACTCACTGTTCATTTCATGTCTTCCACTGTTTCAGCATTTTGGATTTGAAATGCAGCCCTGTGGAATCTATATTTGTCTCTGCCGCAACATCAAGGAGGTACATTTGTGTTTTATGCAGCACATTGTCGGAGGAACAATAAATTGTTAATTGATAACCTGTTGAAAGTTAAATTGAAGGATAAAATCTCAATTAAGCAGTAACGAAATATAAGTATGACTAAATGCTAGATAATTAATTCAACCTAATAGCCGATATAAAATAACCCTTCAACCCATCATTTAGAGCTCTTCTTTTATCTATAAACCGAAGATGGCCTAATTATATTTTCTTGTGTTTCAGGCAAGGAACCGGTTATTTTGACAACTTGGGGTTTGCTTCATTAACCGTCTGGAACATGAGGACATGGAAAGCTTTGGTACGTAACGGCTGAAAGCATAAATCTTCATCGGAATGTTGTATTCCTTTTCCATTGATCCGTCGCCTCCTTTCAAATAAAATTCAGTGAACGCTCACTTCGTTTCAACTTTTTTGAAGACAGTCCTCCCTCTTGGTGAAGATCCGCCAGCAATAACCTCGTTGAGTTTCAATCACAATGGAAAACTTTTAGCAGCCGCCGCAACTGATGGAATGATTCATATGTTTGGTATCCTTTCTTTCGTCGTTACCTGATTACATCTCTTAATCTCTTATTTCATACCTCAGGATTTATAAGATACACACACACACACATATATATATATATATCAAATACGTACACCTTAACTGAGGAAGACATGTCTGCCGGCCAACAAGTTACTGGATGGCCTGCTCACGAGTCGGCAATCAGCTCAATTCACTTTGGTCCGGACGAGACCAGCATATTTAGCTTGGGAATTGATGGAAATGTAAGTATCTTTAACAACTCCTTTTCTTTGTGATTGTGCATTTGCTTTTATACTTGATATAGTTCGGATTGTTAGATTTTGTTTGTTAGATATATTCTCTTGTATATTTACATATATATATATATACATAATACTTCATTCGTTCCACATAATTTCTGTCTATTTTCTTTTTAAATATTATTATACACTTTAATCATATTTAAATTTTTTATCTTAATATTAGTCCATAATTATTTTTATTATATAATAATTATTTTTACTAATACACCTTTTAATTACTTACTAATTATATTTCATCTAAATTTCCGTATCTACGACAATTGTGGATAATTTAACTGGAACGGAGGGAGTATGTGTATTATTTTTTGGAATGAAAATAGCATACCCTAAATAACATACTTCTAGATTTACAATCATCTAAATTTGTCATAACAAATGCCGCGTGAACTTCTAATGTATTTATCACAAGCTCCCGTCAGTGTTTATTTTCCAATACTCGATTTTGAGATTCTAACGTGGAAGGTATGATCCAACAGATATTTGAATGGAGCTTGCACAATCAAGGCAAGGTTTTATGGTCGAGAAACTGTAGCAGGTATGAACTCAACTAGTTATTGGTAGAGCATATAAGCAACCATGTGAAGAGTCTTTGCAGCAAGGATTTGTTTCTTGATTTTAAAGACCTTTTTTTTTCAAAATAATCTTCCATGTGATAGGTATTGCAAGAAAGAGAATTGGAGTAATTGGAGACCTGAAATGGCATTAGATGCAGATGGGAGAAGACTATTAGTAACATCTTGTTCGGGAAGGGCGCCGATATACCAGGTAGGGGTTGGCATGGCACTTGATATAGATCGATGGTATTGATTAATATGATGTTTTGTTGATATATAAATATGCATACATACAGGTGGGAGGTGAGATGAGGGGAGGGATGAGAACAGTTGGTCACAGTGGATCAATCACGACCGTCGATTGGCATCCGACGTTGCCCATTTTCTTGACAGGCTCTGCCGATCACTCTGTCAGAGTAATCTCTATTTTATGATCATTCATATATCTATCTGCCTGCTTCTATTTCTGCTTCTGCTTTTTTATTAATTTGTTTATTCCTTTCTTTTTTTTTGAAAAAAAAAAAAAAAAAAAAAAACAAGAAGGGAAAAGTGGTCTTAAACAGAGGTTTTGGTTTGATAGTTAGAGAGAGATAGTAGTTTTTCTTTATACAAATCCCAGTCGAAAGAGGCATGGCATGGGAGGTGTTTGGCGAACAAGTAATAGCAGTAGTAGTTTGATTGCACAAAATTGTTTTGATTGACTATTTTTATTTACTAGTTTGGTATTATTAGCTGAGCTGATGTGGACGAAATGTCAAATAAAAGGAGTATTGTCATTGTTGTGTTATTTACACTAGTTCCGTTTAGATTGAGACTTTGGGTTAAGTTTGGTTTACACCGCAGTTTTGAAATTTTTAATGCTATTATACTTTTTTTTTTTGTGACCGGTTTACTTACTGTACCACAGAGTATTAGTAAAAATAATTAATTTAAAAAAAAAGGTACGTGGGACGGAGAGAAACGGCATGGACATAGTATGTGGGACGGATGACGGATTATATAATAAAATTAGAGCTTTGATGTTTTGAAATTTTCAAAATAACAAATATTTAATATTTGATATTCCTTTCTCCTAATTCTACTTTATTTTTACCAATTTTATGTCATATGTATCATTTTTTATTTTTAGTAAAAATAATGTATTAATATCAAAATACTCTTTAATTTTTATTTAAATTACAATAGTATTATTACACATACAATTATTTTAAATACTCTCTTCGTTCAATTTCTATTATTCTAAAGTATATTGTACGGTTTTTTATTGTCTTTTTTGTCATGAATTGACCAATTTGTTTTAAGTGTATGGTATAGATTAAAAATAATAAATGAAAGGTAAAAATGTAAAATTTGTATTTAAAAAAAAAAAATAGGACAATAGTTGTTCACAGTTCAAATAAGAAAGTAGGATATTGTGGACAAAGGAAGTGACATTTTTTATTATTAATCATAAATAAACATTTTTATTTTTATTTATTTATATTATATAATATTTTATTTACATAATTAATATTATATTTTATATTTTATAAAAATATTATCATTAAAGTAATTAAATACATACTTTAATTTTTAAATTTCATTTATAGTACATTATAAATTAAATCAATTAAATAAATTAATTTCACTCAAATTTCCAACTCAATAATCCACAAGGACCACAACCCGTAACCCACAACTATGCACCATTGATTCAGTGTTTATTTATCTATACATGTTTTCTATTTGAAAGTTTTAAATTATTTAGTATAATATTTGAATAAATAATTAAATAATACATTGCAGTAGAATGAAAATAAAAGTGAAAACATATACTATTACATCCTAAAATGTAAATGCATGTTTACACTACTACAATTATATTGACTCTCCTCTATTTCACTTTATATAAATCTGCATGACAAAACTTGCATCATTTCTTACCTTTAAATGAATACTTACCTTGTCATCAATCATCATCGTCGTCATCGTCATCCTCGACCATCCTTAGTCGTCGCCTAGACGAACTCCTTTCCCGGGCAGTAGTAACAGGTTCGATGCTGCCCTCTTCTTCCAAATCATCCATCAACTCATCATCCAAGATTGGATCTTCTGCTGCTTTCTCATTAGATAATTCATTCAAATTGTCCACACCGGTAGTTTCCATGTCTAAAGCACTCTTTGTAGGATCATTAAAATTCGATTTCGCAGATTCATCCCTGGAAATAATTATAAAAAAGGAAAATTACATGTAGATATATATAATGTCTGTATTTGAGAACAATACATTAGATCATTCACATTATGGAAGTAGAGAAGACAGAATAATAAATCAAACTCAATTACTCTCGAGACAAGTCTAGAATCTTGGCATGTTAACGATGTCCTAAGAAAATATAACCCATCTTATGCGTTCATGAAAGTTCTTTTTTATGGAAGTGTCATTTAGTCGATGCTATGCTACTACATATGATGCTAGTCAACAAGATAGATCTCAGCTTCAAGGGAATCTTGCATCTAACTATGTAAAGGTTACCTGCCAGAATATTTTTATTCAGATTTCCGACATTTAGCATATTAACTTATTTTCATTAAATAGAAATTATTTAAGATATATCTTGAAGAATCAATCCCCAAAATTGCAGTAACCATTGTTAAGTTAGAATTTAAGTACCTCTCTGAGACTTGGATGGGATGATCATTTGAGTTGGTTTCATCTGAAGATTTTTTATGAGATGAGTCGTCAATCATCAGATCCTCAACATTACCCTTTGAGTGTATTTTCTTTGTTTTCCTGTGTTGAAGGCCAAAAAAAGGTAAACATTAGATGTAAATGAGATCCAGAAATTGGAAAAATAATATTTTGTCAAGTCTATTCTTGTAAACATACACTAATTTCCATAAATGTAGATATTTGAAAAAACAGTTAAAATGAAGTTTGTAACAGATAAAATACATACACCACCAGAGAACTGAGTAACTCATCGTCGGAGATATCGTCTGGCAACTTTTGTGCAGCCTTGTTATTATGTTCCTTTCCATAATGACTTCGCTTTCGTTTTTGTTTACCCCTAGAATTAGATGGAAGAAGGTCAAATTTCCCGAATAATGCATGTAATTCTAATCAATCATTGATCGAGAAAAAAATTTGGAAAAATAGATGGTCTCATCAAAGAATTGGATAATTGAAAATGCAAGGTATATTGATACTATTCAAGATATGGAAACACTCAACTAAGAGCATGTTTAATTAATCTGAGTATAAAATCCACACAAAAATCAATTAATCAACTATAGTAAATTTCAAGTCATTTAATAAGTTAATATCAAAGAAAGAATTGTGTTTACCTTTCTTCTCTAACTATAGTAAAAAAAAATACTATATGTTCCGCACAAAAAAAATCCTTTTCAACACGAATTCTATACAACCATTATTTTCACTCATATAATTTTAAATCGAAAATAACATATAATATTAAAACACAAGCAAGCAAGCTCAAATAAGGCAGGCAAATGCAAAAACTGGACCCAAATAAAATGAAAAGGAGTTTGGAGGCACCTAATCCAACCACCAACTCGGTAGACATGAAGGAAACTTGCATTTTATATCCAAAAGAATAGAGTAATTCAGCTATACCTGTTTTGCAGGGATAGCAATGTTTCATCATCAGATGCACCTTCACCTTGGAAAGAAATGTCAACCTCGTTCCTCAAGCGCCTGTTACCATGAGAGCTTTTCTTTTTTGGTATGGCGAGGCCAAGTTGTTTAAGTTTGCGAGAAACTAGAGCTGCAGATATTTTCCCGGTGCTATCAAGTGCATTAGCAATCAGGGAGCTGCATTTCTTTTGATCTTTAAACCTTCAAGATATAAGATTTTCTTCAGCTTCCAATTAATTTGAGCATTATTAAAACGAGGCGTACTATTAGATCATAGCTAGGAAGCTCTTACTGCTCAAACAGATCTTTAATCTTCTGCTCTTGGTCTGAACTAAATGCATGTACCCGTTTTCGAGAGTGCCTGCAAAGTAAGGAACAAGTTAGTTAATCTACTTGCCAAGTTTCTAACATTGCTTCGATAATGTAGTGCGATTGGCCTGAAACAGCCCCTATAGCAATGTATTGATGTATAAACATGGCAAAATGCCGATCTTATACTCACGTGGGTTTTCTCATGGATGAACTTTCCTTTCCAAGAGTCAAATTGGCATCAGAGGTACTCCTGGAAAGATCTGTGTTGCAATCCCCAAGTTGATGAGAAGTATTTGATTTTTGCACCTTTGCCTTAGCTGCGACTTTAAACCCAAGCTGTGTAAGTGCTTTGACAACTTCCACTTTCGAAATTTCTTTCTCTGGATCGAGCTCTCCAGCAATAATCTCACAACATTTAGGATCATCCTTATGCCTAGCATAACACAGATATGATCAACCCTTTGGTTTGATATGAAATCATAATCAAGACGAAAACTCTGTGTATGTGGAAGCAAGGCATGCACAGCAATAGCATTCAAGAGAAAAATAAATAAATGCTTCATATTGAGTATTGAAAATAGGTTTCATATAATAGTACTGTAGTATTCTAATTAATATGATACTGAATATCACCCAAATATTATGATATGTTAAGGATGGTTCATCTATTTTTAAAGTACTTACTTCTCATACAGATACTTAAGTTTGTCTTCCATTTCATCACTAAGAACAAGGCCAGTTCCTTTCTCTGGTGATCTGTTCGGTTCTTCTTCAGTGTGCTCATCCCTGAATCCAAGAAACAACATAATAAGGGAAAGGTTAAACTTCACAATAAGCTAACCGTAACTAGCAAACCATCCATATTTTTATCTCATTAAATCATCTTATGGTTAAATAAATAGGATTTTAGAGAGAAATGAAGTAACATTGTTTAATGCCTAATAGTGTCGCCAATGCTAGAAGAATCTGTTAGCTCTCATGCAGATTAAATGCCAACACCAAATATGAAAGACACAGAAACGCAAAATATGAAAGACTGCCGAACTCTATGATATCTTACACTTGGTTGTCTTCATCAGGCATCACAAAATCATCGTCACCCAAAGCATCTGCTAGGCTCCTGCGAACCCACTTTTGTTCGTGTGAGAAACCATTTCCTCCACTTTCACCATGACTTCTTCCTTCTCGAAATTCATTTTTAATATGGTTAAGCTCATTCAGCATAGATCCACAATTTATATGTTGGCATTCTCGTCGTGTCTTTGGAAATAGAACTTCTACAAATAGAAGAGGATAACTCTTCATTTTCCGTAGCATCCTCCGAACTAAAGTTGACAAAAAAGTGACAATATTCTCGTATTCTTTGCATGGTCTTGCTTTCTGCTCCTCCAGGATATCTGAGAATATTGTAAGGTATGACAACTGCAGAGAGAAATTACTTTTTAATGTCTAGTATCATGAATCCAAATTAATGGTGCTAAATGGTAAGGGACTTGCAAGCTAAGTACCTGGTATAGCATGGGTGCTAGCTCCAAATCATCACAAATCCGTCGAAGCATGTTTATTATGTAATGGTTTGTACTTACAGAATTGTTCTTATAGAACTTCAGCAACCAACACAGCTTCTGAACAACATTATTGTTAGCAAGAGCAGACAGTAATGATGATGGCTTAAAATCAACTTCATTTGTCAATACTGGTTGCTCATCTCCTGATGAATTATCAGTTTCAAGATAACAACCATCATTATCACCAATGTTTCTTTCATCCACTTCTAACTCATTGCTTCTTAGATCTGCAGGCTTTGATACAGGATCATCAGTTTGAATGGAATCTCTAACGCTTTCAACCTCCCCAATGTTGCCTACAACAAGTTCTTGATGTGTCGATGTTTCCTTTTCCATTATGTGGTCGGCATTTGGCTCTTTAACAGTGGAGCTGTCAACCTGATTCTCTGGAGCGATATCACCCATACTTGGTTGACTTTCATTTCCATTTGTGGTTGTTGCTTTCTTTGCCCTTTTCTTTCTTGACTTTTTGGAAACCTTTCATTGCAATAAAAGCATTAAAATATGAATGGTTTCTTACTATCATCTATGTTTCTACTGAGATTTACAAATAAACAAGACCAAGGGTATAATAAGCTCACCCAATTTTTGCACGAAGGAAAAAAAGCATGAACTTCATAATATGAACAAATGGAAGTATCACTTCTAGCAAAACTAGCTAGCAAATAAAACCACCAACAGAGTCTTCATGCACATAATGAACTAGGCATTTCCACTCTTTCATTCAGTATAAATATATTTCTTCAAAAATGCACATTGATTTATACAACTGAATACATTCAAAAGGTCCACTCTATTTTCAATCTCTTATATACATGTCTTACACACACATCCAAAGTCAACCAGTAACATTTCATGAATTATCACTGTGTGTACGTCCATTCCATGCACTCACATAAATATTGTTGCCCAATTTTAACCTAAGATTATCTCATTATTAACCCTAGCCATAGGAAATTCTTACATATTGAAAAACAAAAAACAAAAAAAAACAGCACATCTTAATTATAATTTAAGTGTTGAATGTTGATGAATACAGAATTAACTAGTGATGTACTTGTCAAAGCTATTGGAAATCTTAGCATCAACAGAACTGTTTTCGAGTCGAATTTTTTAACAGATAAGTTATTATCATTTGTTATAATATCAATTATGAACACAAAGAGGCATGTTATTACACTTATTGACTGTCACACTGAAAAAACTATAGTATAATTTCTAGCTTAAATATCCAAAGGTAAAATTCTACAAATTTGTCACTACATTTGATGTGTATAGTCCATTACCATCAGAAGGCTTCAATGGTCATATTACCAGGAATATTTGGCTTCACTCATCAGATTAGATTTGAAAATGATTGTCAGAATTTATACCCTTGTGCATCAGGAAAGGAGGTAACTCCTAGGACAAATTCCTTGAATTAAAATTGTCGGAAGCTAATGACCGTCTCACCTAAAAGCTCGAACTTTTTAGGGAAACTAAGCCATTAGTTACATATCCCGCAAACGGGAGTCCTCAACACGCCCCCTCAGGTGCAAGTGGGTCTGCGATACTTGCACATGCATATGCCACAAATGGGGACGGGCGGGACTCGAACTCGAGACCTAACCTAGGCTCTGATACCATGTCGGAAGCTAATGACCGTCTCACCTAAAAGCTCGAACTTTTTAGGAAAACTAAGCCATTAGTTACATATCCCGCAAACGGGAGTCCTCAACAAAAATTAATAAAAAAATCAAACATACCCGTAGATTTCCACGTGTTTGAAGGTTCTCCAGTAGTCGTAGAATCACATGCATGCTTTCCACCAAGTTAGCAAGATCACTAGAAGCATCATAAAATAGAGTTGGAAAAGTGATACAGGATATATATAAAATAAACAAATCAACCAGTGGAAAAAAAACCATGCTATGTTAAAATCAAACACATTAATGATCACAAGAACATTTATGATTTCCGTAGAAATTGATAATGGCAGAAATCAACTATTCCATCACATCATTTTTAAGCATTACATTACATATTCACCCATGCAAGAAATTAATTTAATCACCCATATGGCAGATCCCACTAAACCTAACATGATCAGAAATTAAGGGACGGACAAGACTGACTGAATAATGTTGGGACCAGTGAGATCTTTTAGATGGAAATATCACAATGACGAAAAACTAAGATCCAGGAGATGCTAGCCCTATATGCACAGAAAAGCAGCATTCACAGTGGATTGTAAGCATGTGTTTTTAGACTATAGTAGTTGTGATTAGATAGTTGAGAAATTCAGTGCTCTAATAGATCATATGCATTGAAAAATGCCTAATTTGTGAATCTACAATGATGAGAAAGCAACATTGCTCGGCATCAACAGTCAAGCAAGAATTTTAAAATATTGATGGAAGGTGTATTGAGCTGAAACCTTTTAGACTGCTTATGAGTATCAAATGATTTAATCAGGCTTAGGAGAAACTGAGTCATCCCCTCCTCTGTCTGATCGTAGAACAGCTTATACAGAAGGATGCGTACAGTCTGAGTTTCCTTGGAATCTTCTGGTGATTGCCTCAGCACCAAATCCAGCATGCGTATCTTATTTAAAATTATACACAAAATCACACATTAGAAGGTGCTTAAAAGAAAACACACTGCATTGTTACAGACCAAATAACATATGGTATGAAATTTTGTTGAATGATATCAGTAGGCTGCATACTAAGAAACTGCCTAAGAATATGTGGGGCGACTACTGTTATGAAGAATGATGTTGGTAAATAAGTAAAAGAATATATACCATAATCTTAAGAAGGGATCCAGCTGCTGAAAGAAACTTATAGTCATTGGTTTGTTTTATGCCTTCAAATGCAGATCGCCATTTTGCAATGACCATCTGAAACATAGCCTCGTTCAGAGTTTCGGCTATTGGACCGCACATGCTACCTCTTAAAGTGTTGTCATTGTTAGAGGTTGTCAATTCTTCTTTTTCAACATCAATGTGAGGCTGTCAATAAATCAGGCAGAAAATTAGATCTAATATAGCCAAAATGATGCATGCTTGGGTTTTGAAACAAGAAGTGCACTAATTAAAATTAGTTAAGTAATGTGCCTGTACCACTCCCCTAAGATCCCCTACCAGGCCCATTGAATCCTCAAGAATGAAAATTAGACATGAAATTTATAAAGAGATGATAAGATGGTGAGATTAGCTGCTTCCTCAATGCCTCCACTATAAAGCACAAACAATTGAATGCACTATAAAAGAAGACTAAACATTATGCACAGACCCAATGTTTCTATTCAACAGTTAGATCATACACGCACAACAACAGTATGCTAATCAACTGTTTGGTCTAGAATTAGTATCCACATCGTAAATTCGAAAATACAAATAAGTAAATAATCAAATGGGTCAAGAATGAACCTTGCTAACAGAGTGCTTATAAACTGTACTTACTAAATGCAACTCATGTCACAACTGAATCTTTACACTAATTGTATCTCACCTTTGAGCTTAGGCACTTGTAATACTGAAATGAGGTGACAAATTCTTGGACCTGAAAGAATATGACAATTTCATTGTTTTGAATTTCCAGATGGTCTTTCTCAATGTCCCCACGGACAGACTCCATCAAAACTGATGACCAAAAACAATAGATGAAATTGAGGCCCTATGAAAGTTCTTAAAATAGGTCAATGTTGAATGTTTTCTTGATTTCAAAAATAAATGCATTACCATTGTATCCTCCACGAAGAAACTGGCTTATGAAATCGTCAAGTAACTGCAGGATTTGCGTTGTAGTTGATGGAAGTTTTCCACTGTCCCAAACTTCTCTTTTTGAAGGACCTCGGTAACCTTTCTGAGATTTTAACAAAGCACCACCAGAAGCAGTAGGATTTCCAATGTAAAGAGCTTTAGAGCCATCCTTCCATGAATATAAAAATAATAGTAAGAAGACGAAGAATAAATTGTTTACTACAAAAAATATTACTAGTTCATCACAAATAGCATCAGTAGTTACACAATAATACCATGCCCACACGGGTATATATTCCTCTAAACTGTGAATGGCGAGTGAGACAATGAATTTGGGTATGCTTTCTCTTTTCTTGTTCATTCTTCATAATAGATTGAAGACTGGTGAGTGGATCTTCAGCAACATTTTCTGCCTATAGGAAGAAAAATAAGCAAAATATGACAAACACTTCACAAGTGCCACTCAAATATGTATCTGTGCAAAACCGCTTCTGAAATTGTAGCACCACAAAATATAAACAAGATATAGGCCAATGGATACAAAAAAAGTTTCATATAATTCTGTTTCAAATGATTCATTAGATTTTTCATTTGATTTGAATTCATTACTATCAACAATCAAAAAACCCACAAAAAAAAAAAACAGACCTTTGAGCCCTTTAATGATGCCTTCAAAATCAACTCAGGGTCTTGTCCCTTGAAGATATAATAGAAAATGTCCAAAAAAAGAAAGTTGTCCTGACATAGGTAGCCATGAGAACCACCAGTGTGCTGCGATAATACTAATATCAGGTCCATGACATTCTCCTTGAACAATAGTTCTAAGAACCTGTCTCGAAGGGACAGGAACTGAATAGCTGACCCTCCGGCCTTCTGCTGTACTGATATATCTTGAATAGCTAAAATGTTTCGAAACAATGTAAGCACCAGCTGGACCAATTTCCAGTCTTCTTCTGTGAAAGATTCACTGGTTACCAGCAAATAAAAGAAATCAATAAAATCAGCTATACTCAGAGCAGGCAGTACCAAAGAAATGCAATATACATTATACATTAACACTTGCATAAACATATTAAAATTTGAAACAACGGGTTTCATATTTGAAGCTTGTACCTTTAATCCCCTATCCGGAAATTGTGCATAAAATACTTTTGAGATATATATATATATATATATGAACAACCCAAGTCTATGAGCATCTCTTATAATCATCCAAATGAACACTGCAATCAATTTTTTTTTTTCAAAAGAGATCACTTACTTCTCGAGATTCTCCAGTGGAGTTTCCAAGAGAGATGTAATCACTGGAATAATATCACTAACTGTAATAGCAGATTTCACTCCCCATAGGTACTCTATCTGCTGTGGTATATCGTTGGATGTAGGCTCAACGGGCATAGTAAGGAACACCAACACCTTAACTGCAGAAAACAGCAAATTGAGCCATGAAACATATGATACTGATTGCGCCTAGGGCATTCATCCTCAAGTTCAAATTCAACGTTACCTGAATTCAGCACTAAACTGCGATCTTCTTGACAATACTCGATAAGAGGTATCAAATCTTTCCCCACAATGTTCCACTTACAAACTTGCTTGAACACATCTCGCTTCTCCGGATCATCGCGCCTTAGAAACCTCAATAAGTCCTTCAAGTTATCTACCGAATAAATTTTAAAGCATGCGTTACACACGTCTTAATAGGCAGCAGAAACTTCTTCGGTACCATGGACAACTGAAAAGGTTTACCTGAACAGTACTCTCCCTTGACATAGCCGATTCCGTTCCCATCGTCGTCCTCATCTAGCATTCCAAGCCCTGCACAAATACTAGATAATCCATCCATCTGCTCTCAATCGCTTGCACGCTCGACGATTCGAATGATGAATTTGCTGAAATGGTTGAATTGGCCGAACTGGATCGAAGAAACTGCGAGAGAGTACTTTCTGCAACTAGGGCTTTTCACCGGGTGAGCTTCTGACCAGTTTTCCCGCCCTTTTCATAATCTGGCGGGAGTGTGATTTTTGCAATTTATAAGTATAGGGTTTTTTAGAGAAAAAAATTTAAATTAAATTAAATTAAAATTTTAAAAAATCCCTAAGTCAAAATCAATTTTTTTTTTTCCCATGTGTTATTATATGTGAGATTTTGATTTAGGTTATTATTTATTTTAAAAACCTAAAAATATCAAATTCTCTCCGTGCCATATCTATTTTTTCTTTTATTTTTTTCACAAAGAGTTTTAAAAATATTAGTATTATATTATAATGTATGTATGAATAAAGTATAAATGATTAAAATAATTTTTTTAGTATTGTGTAATATAAAAATAATAACATTTGTAATATATAAAGGTATTTTGTTATAGGACGGATCAAAATAAAAAAAAATAAAAAATTATTTGTTAAGGGACGAAGAGAATAGTATTTTGTGTTATTAGAATTTCACTTTGAATTTATTTTCGTTAATTATGTTGTATTTATTATTCAAAATATTGATCAACTTAGACATATAAATTCACAACAAAAACGATGAAATTATCAACAAAAGCAAAAATGAGAATGGGTCTTAACAAAATTTTAAACGCAATCAGAATCAAAATTATGTGTTAAATCATGACAAACGATCAGAAGTCAAATTCAATCGTGAATTTTATAAAAACAAATTTGATGGACGACCAATAGCAAATGAAGTACAAAAACAAAATACTATTCGTGACACCGTATAATTAGAAATAAAAATTTTAAAATCATAAGACCTAGGAATATTCAAAATTAGATGTACCTATAAAAGTTAGTAGTTTGTTTTACTCTAAAAGAAAAATACCTATAATATTATATTAGACAATGCAAATGATCTTGTCAACGTAAACTAATATAAATACTCAAAATTGATCAATATTTCATGTGAATCAACTAATATAATCCTCACATGCAAAAAAATATTTTCACCATGGGTGTGTTTGTTTTAGGGTTTGGATTTTGAATTGGGATTTGAATAGTAAAAATTTTGAATTTAAATAGTTATATGATGTGATATAAATAGGTGTTGATGTGATATTTTAAATGTAAAATTGATTTTTAAAATAATATAAAAAATAAAAATAGATGTTTGATTTGATATTTTTTTGGGAAAAAAAATGAGATGAATAGTGAAAAGTAAATCCAATGCCCCAACAAACACACCCCATATGAATTTTGCACATAGCGAGATGAATAATGTTTGTAAAATTTTAATATAAAACTCATGGTCGTATTCTTTTGCGAGTTTTTTTTTTAATTTTTAATTATTTAGATTTTTTTGTTTTTTTTTTTAAATATCAAATTAAATAAATTATTTTCATTTTTTTCTATAGGAAAAATTACATGAAACTCATATGCAATTTTTATATGTCAAATTCTCATATTTTCAAAATTATTGTTAGATTCCTTTAGTCATTTTGTAAACTATGTATCTAACTTTCCAACATGTCATTATTTATTATTTAATGGTATTTGATATTTATATATATATATATTTAATTTTAGGAACATTAAAAATGATAAATACACAAATTAAACACTGTTAAATGAGGTCGGTCGAAGAACTAAACACAAAATTTTAAAACAATTATTAATCAAATGCTAATTTTCAGTATTAAAATATTAAATCAAAATAAAAACATTACAACAAAGAGAATAAATAGACAAGAAAATAATAATAGTAATAAAAATAAAGGCACGGAAAGCACGCGGTTCCTGTGGCAGACCATGACCCGACCACACTAACTAAGACGGCGCCGTTTAATGGTAGGAACGGTGAATTCCCTTTTTACCCCTCTCTCGCCCGCTCGAGTTCCGCCGTTAAAAACGAAGCTCACCGAGGTATAAATACAGTTGTGCTACACTTTTGCCCCCGTCATTTTCTTCTCGCTCGATTCCGTCGATACAACCAAGAAGCCTGTGGAGCCTTCACTGCGATTTCTCCAACACTTCTGGCAATTTTCCATCGGCTGTGCTTGTTTGATAATTATTGTAACTGCACCGTTGCAATTCCATATTCGGGGAGGTCATTTTTCGGCAATGGCGCAAGTGGTGGCAACGCGGCTCATTCATGGCGCATTTGCGGCTAATGTTGGCGGTGGATCTATGCAGAGTCGGTACGAGAAGCTGAGGTTTGGGTCTGGCTTCGAGGCGAAGGTTTTGGTGCGAAATGAGAAGAGGAGTGTCGGCGGAGCTGTGAGGTTCAGCACGCAGATCACGGCGAGGAGATCTGCCAGCGTTGAGCCGCAAGTGGTTCCAGTTACTCCGGAGGACACACCTAAGGTTATGGTTTTGGTATTTTGTTTATTGTTTGAGATGTTGGTATGTTCGCGCAGCAAATGTTTTTTTTTTTTAGTTAATTTAATGTTTTATCTGAAGTGGAGTGGAGTTTTGCAAGCTTGAGTTTGATACAGACTGCTGGAGAGAACTCGAATTCTGTGTTGATGATATTTGAGATTTGAGAATTCATTCAAAAAGAAAAAATTATGCTTAATCATTCCTTGGTTTTGATATTTCAATTCTGAAGATCTGAACTGCAGTTAAGGACTACGAAAGTAATCACAATGCTTCTGTGATTAGGACTATGAAAGTAATCATAGTGGAGTATATAGACGGGCAAATTTCATGTTACATTCTAGCAGACGAATCTCGATGTTTGGTCTATCCTTGAGTGCTTGATTTTATCTACTTGGTTTAATTCTAGCACTACATCTTCGAATCTCTAGGATAATTTTTATGCCTCGTCACTAAATAAACAGTTTAGTTTATCTTGGCCAGGTAGAAGAGCAAAATCAATATTTACAGGGTATTCCCGAGCTTGGTGATATGTCAGTGGGAATGTGGTCCAAGCCTGTTGTAAGGCGGAAGACGAAGATTGTTTGTACTATTGGCCCCTCAACTAACACCAGAGAAATGATATGGAAGCTGGCTGAGGCTGGAATGAATGTCGCCCGTCTCAATATGTCACACGGAGACCATGCATCTCACCAGAAAGTCATTGATTTGGTTAAGGAATATAATGCTCAGGCTAAAGACAATGTCATTGCCATAATGCTTGACACCAAGGCAAGTCGTTTCTTACATTTTCCACTATAATAAGGATCTATAGGTATATATGTTTACACACAGTGCTTTTAGTCGAGTTAGGCTTCACTTCTTTTTAATCCCTTTTCCATTCCAATGACAGGGCCCTGAAGTTAGGAGTGGAGATTTACCTCAACCTATAACATTGGAGACTGGTCAGGAATTTACTTTCACAATTCAAAGAGGAGTTAGCACGGTGGACTCTGTCAGTGTCAACTACGATGATTTTGTTAATGACGTAGAAGTTGGCGACATGCTTCTGGTTGATGGTACGACACCTATGGTCTTGATACACCATTGTAGTTGAATATATTGCGACAATTTACTATCTTGGCTGTGCATCTAAAAGTGAACTGATTGAGTGGGCATGTGGTTACTTATTACTAGATTCTGTTTTTATCACTTTTTTGGTAATGATTTAATGCTGGTATTTACTGAAAGTTCTAAGTGGGGAATGAATTTAATGGGAAATAGTGATTCTGCTTTCATTTCTTGCCTGGGTAACGATAATTGTGTGTAATGCAGGTGGTATGATGTCTTTTATGGTAAAATCAAAGACTAAAGATTCAGTTAAATGTGAAGTTGTTGATGGTGGCGAGCTTAAATCCCGACGGCATCTTAACGTTCGAGGAAAAAGTGCAACACTTCCTTCGATCACTGGTAAGACCATTACTGTTAACTTCTTAACATTAGTTATGCTGCTTCTGCTATTGATTTTTGTTCCATGTCCAATGAAATGATTTGATTTTTCTTTATTTATAACAGAAAAGGACTGGGATGATATCAAATTTGGAGTGGACAACAAAGTCGATTTTTACGCTGTTTCCTTTGTCAAGGATGCATCTGTAGTTCATGAACTGAAGAATTATCTCAAAGGTAAATTTTATATAAAGGACATCTGATCACATCCATCGCTTCTTTCAGCTGCAAAAATTAATTGAATGGCTGACATAACCAGTGCTGCTTATATATCATCATAATCTCTTGTTTTTTCTCTTTTTTTTCCTCCCCTGCAGAGGCTGGTGCTGACATACATGTCATTGTAAAGATCGAAAGCGCGGATTCCATACCAAATCTGAATTCAATTATAACTGCATCTGATGGGGTAAGACCATGAGTGTCTTTCTCTTAAATTCAATTATGCCACTTCCTACGACGACATATTGAATGTTATGGAAATTTGTAGTAACTTTTAAGTTGCTGTTAAAGCTCTGAGAGAAGTTACTACAACTTGGGTAGTTGAAATGGACATCATGTCTCTTTCGTTACATTGCCCAATGTATTCTTGCTTTGTTTAATAATTTTAATTTGGCGAATATTGAGCTAACACAAAATGCCAACGTTTAATCATGTTTTCACTCTCAGGCTATGGTTGCCAGAGGAGATCTTGGCGCGGAATTGCCAATCGAAGAGGTTCCCTTATTGCAGGTAAGCTCATGACATGTTTAAGTAAACAGAACTTCCCACAGTAGCTAGATCCAATCTGTTTAGGGTACGTAATTCCTAACTTCTGTCACAAAACCAATATGCAGGAAGAAATCATCAATTTGTGTCGAAGCATGGGAAAGGCAGTCATAGTGGCGACAAATATGCTCGAAAGCATGATTGTACACCCCACCCCTACTCGAGCAGAGGTGTCCGATATTGCTATTGCTGTTCGAGAAGGGGCTGATGCAGTTATGCTTTCCGGAGAAACAGCCCATGGGAGGTGAGCAGCCTTTTTCATTCGGTTTGATAATGAGCTACAATACCCCATACATACATACATATATATATATATATATTTTGTGCATTAAATCAGGATGCTGAATATTGATCTAGTTTCGATTCCTTGTTAGGTTTCCACTGAAAGCAGTTAAGGTGATGCATACCGTCTCTTTGCGGACTGAAGCTACGATACCTGATGCCGAAACTCCTTCAAATCTAGGCCAAGCCTTCAAGGTATTCGACTTTCAGTCCCACATTATATTTAATAGCAAAATTGCTTGTAACCCGCTATAGTTATACAATTATGCAGCATACTCTCTTATGTTTTAAAAAATATTGCATAGAAATTCCTAAAAATTATTTGACACTACACCCAACTCGTATAATTGGGATTGGGTTTAATCATTCGAGTGTCGAGTCATGATTGTGTCTAAAATACCTTTTTCAGGCCAAGTTTGGGTTTTCGGGTAAAAGTTTGGTCCATTGTGATCCCTAGCATTGCTTTCGAAAAATGTCCAGACTTTTTTCTTATCTTTCTTTCTTTCTTTATGCAGAATCATATGAGTGAAATGTTCGCTTTCCACGCGACAATGATCTCCAATACGCTTGGAACTTCGACCGTTGTCTTCACTAGATCTGGCTTCATGGCGATCCTACTGAGCCATTATCGACCATCCGGCACAATATTTGCTTTCACAAATGAGTGAGTAGGCCAATCTGATTGTAATTTCAAAATTTCACTTTTCACTCAACTATCGTTATGAAATTTTGCTAATGTTTACCGCAGCAAGAGAATACAACAAAGATTGGCATTGTACCAAGGGATTCACCCAATATACATGGAGTTCTCGGCTGATGCCGAGGCAACATTTTCCAACTCGTTGGCTTTCTTAAAGGTAAATAGTCCAATCTACATAGCATAAGAAATAATACTATTTACACATCATCAACAATAATTTTTACTATGTATATATTCGGTCACATAAATTTTAGAATATTAATATTTGATATTTATGTAATGCAATAAATAGGTGAATGGACAATTGTACCCTTAAAATTTTAATAAGTTTATTTAGTTATGTATTACTGAAAAAAGAAATCGGATATAGATAAATTGATTATAGACAATATGTTCATCAAATACCTAAGTTTATAGTGTTGTTAAGATAAGTATTTGAAAACTGTGGTTTTGTAGAAGCACGGAATGGTGAAAGAAGGGGAACAGGTTGCTCTGGTTCAAAGCGGGAGACAACCCATTTGGCGGTCCCAATCCACCCACAGTATTCAGGTCAGGGAAGTTTAGTATAGTCTATTACTGTAGACTATAGAGTATATATGGAAGCCTGCCTGCCTTGCCTAGCAAGTAAAGTACACACAACAAATAACCGTCCAGGATGACAGGTGGATCCATTGTTTGTTTCTTTGCTACTTAAGGTGTGGTGGGTGTTTTCCAATTCAGCTCAGCTAATTTAATACAATAAAGGCTACTAGGCCATGTTTGCTGGAGGTTTGTGAGTTGGGTTTTGGATTGCTGGGATTTTAATAGTACTATTTGTTTGAGGCTTTGAATTTGCAATGGTTATGATGAAAATTATTAAAGATGAAATCATTATTTTTTACATCATACTAAAAAAATAATTTTATATTTACAGTATCACATATATTCCAAATTCAGATTTTTATTATTAGAAATATCCCAAATTCAAAAATCAAATCCTCAAACACACCAATAGATTTTTTAGGGTCTTCGTTTGCGAAGTGCAGCTACAAGTGAATAAACAAAGACAGCTCTATTCTTCCTACAAAGTCAGATAAACAAGTGCGTTGATGGAATATTTTGCAAAATCCAAACTAAAATTTGAAAAAATCTCAAAAAAAAAAACACACCCTAAAGAAATCCTTTTAGATCGAGTTTTAATTTGATTTATTATATTCTGATTGATTGAACCAACCAACTAACCAACACAGAAGTGAAAACTAAACAATAGATAACAAAGACGCGATAACATTATAATACCATAGACAGATACTTGTTGTGTATCAGTTCTCGGCCTCAACAAGACCTATATATACATATACACATACACACAACACACCGACTCCCTATCGACATACTTTAGAACTACCTAACTAAGTTCTCGACAAACCCATCCATAGCACACATATATCGCAGACACAAACACTAACGACAAACCGAAACTAAACGGCGAAAAACAAAATACTGCGAAGAACGGCATACCTTATATACACAACACACATTTGTCGAAATCATCTTCCCCTCACACCCATTTGTGCGCCATGTGAATCGATTTGTCCACCTCCAATTGACTCATCCCGTCCTCCTCCATTTCCGCATCGCCTCTAAGTATCGCCATCAGCCGCCCTCCATGCACCCGACCTTCCGGAAGCGCCAAATTCCGACGTTCCTGCTGCTGCAACGCAAAAGAATGCGTCACGTAACTTGTAGAACCAAAAGATGTCGTCGTACCAGTAAATCCCGTCGTCGAGCTCATTTCCTTTTCCTTCTCCATTCCCTGCATTTGCGTCGCGTGCGCCGCGCAGAGCCCCGATTTCCCCCGCGCGAACTTATCACACGCGGCGGGACCCGCCCACGAGCACCGTCTCCCGCCGCCGTGCGCCTTGCAGAAATCGGTGCTCCCTTGCGCGCTCTTGGGACACCCTTCCGACTTGCACCGTTTCCCGCCGCCGTGACGGACGCAGTAATTCGTGCGGCCTCGAGCGCTCTTGGTGCACTCGGGGACAGCGCACCGCTTCCCGCCGCCGTGGCCGACGCAGAATAGCGTTCCGCCGTGCACGCTCTTGGTGCACCCGTTGGCCGTGCACCGTTTCCCGCCACCGTGGCCCTTGCAGAACGGGGTGCTCCCTTCCGCGCCTTTCGTACACCCCAAAAACGTGCACCGTCTCCCGCCACCGTGGGCCTTGCAGAACATCGTGCTGCCTTGCGCGCCTTTACCGCATTCCGGGAATTGGCAGCGGCGGCCGCCTCCGTGGGAGATGCAGAGGCCGGAGACGCCCTCGGCGCTTCTAATGCAGTTTCCGATCTTGCAACGTTTCCCGCCGCCGTGACGAATGCAGAGACCCGACTTGCCTCTCGCCGCTCGAGAGCATCCGTCGTGGGTGCACCTCTTCCCGCCGCCGTGACCTATGCAGTAATCAGTGCGGCCTTCGGCGCTTTTCGTGCAGCCGAGATACTGACAACGACGGCCGCCGCCGTGTGCCTTACAAAAGACTGTTTTGCCCTCGGCTCCCCTCTGACAGCCGGCTTTCTGACACCTCCGACCACCTCCATGTGCTATACAGAGACCCGAAGCACCTCTAGCGCCCCTGGTGCATCCTTCGAACATGCATGGCTTCACGCTGAGTCTCCGTTTCGGTTTCCCGACGACATCAACATCTTGATGTGGAACGGCGGGAATTTCTCGACCCATTAGGGGTGTTATAAGCGGGCCAGCTTTCCACCGTGACGATGTCGACCCTTCATCGACTAGTTGAACGGCGGTAGCAAAAGCCGGTAGCTCGGAGTGATTCTGACTGATTCTGAACTCCTGGGCAGTGAGAGTTGTCGTATCGGATTCCATAGGTCCTGTGGATAGGCTTAATTGAAGGTCGAGACATCCCGAAACATTCTTTGGGGTCGAAAATCGATTGCCGCTCGGATTGAGGTTGATGCTTAGACCAAGATCCAAGGAAGATTCGTCTTCGATTATCGTCTTCAAGCATGTGCTAGTACATGAGCTCGATGAAGGGGCGACGCCAAGAACCATAGAAGACACGTCTTTAAAGCTAATGGGATGGTCTGCAGCACCATGTTTCTTCTTGTTTTGCCCGGAACTGTAAGAGCTCGATACGCCAGGTGAATGAAGATCTAGAGAAGAAAGAGCACCATAATCGAGAGCGTTTCCACGATCTTTCGAGGCATGTACTGAATTAGCTGTATGATCATGGCTCCAATCCATACAATAGAGCGGAAAAGGGAAGTAATTTATGAACAGGTAAAGAATAGAAAGAATCAGATCTTTGAATTCCGGCTTCTAAGATCTGCGCTTCCAAATCTAATAATCGATAGTCAATCCAAAGATTCCTCATATAAAGGAGCCACCGCTCACGAAGCCTGCTGTGTCCTGACGATCCATTATAAGAGATATCGATGTATGTTGAGAAGAACTTCAAGGTTGCGAAAAGTTTTCAATGGAAAACAGAGATCCTGTTGAATTAAAAGATACAGATTATCAGCCGAGAGTTTTGAAACATAAACTTGAAACTATTTTAAGTTAAGCGAAGAACTAAAAAAGAATGAAAATAAATGACATTAGAGATGTTGTCTAATCCGACCACCGCTTCAGGCACTGAATTTCACAAAGGTTCCAACAGTTTGATAATTAATACGGCGCTTTTCGACCACGTGTAGCCACATAACGAAAAGGTGTACGTCGAGCGGTCAGACGCGACGTCAGCCACTCGACCACGGAATTACACATCACAAGTAATGCAGATAAGTCTATGAATAAAACAAAGATCCCAAAAATATACTAGCACTCAATCACAGACAATATCCATCCAAAACTCAATCAGCATCAGAAATGATTTCATCAAATTCCAAACCAACTAAAATAAAAATCAATCTGCACCTTGCAAAATTGAAGTTCATAGGACAACACAGAGAGATTTACACAGCATAATGGACATTATTAAGGCAAAACAACTCAGGAAAACTTTCTTCATCCACAATTAACTGCCTAAGCTTCCCAATCAGATAAAAGCGATCACCCATGGGGATCAACAGGACCAACGACACTCAATGCATCCAAACTACAAGCAAACCATAACTTCCTTCTAGGTCGTATCAAAACTCCATACAAGAAATAAAACTTGATGCACGTAAAATTCCAGATACAAACTCCTTCCTCGCTGCAGGTAGAAGGCGAAACATAAACAGGAATTCAATGCTTTCTCTTACAAACTAAAATCAAAACAATTATGCGTGATGGAAATCTTCAATCAACCCCCAAAAACACTGTCGCATCCCTTCCCGAACACCTCACCCCCAAAAATGTTAAATAATCATCCATTCACGAAGTTTAACCAGCATATAACATAGAAAACACAAACATCAAGTTTCCAGCAACAACATATGATAAACTGCTAAAAAACTCAACTCGAGCACAGAAAACCAAAACCATTTCAACAGGAACTACACTTGCATAGCAGAAACCATTGGATTTTACGGTTTATGAAGAGGCAAATCACCTCAATACAGTGTGGAACGGAGCCTGGGAATATTGAAGGAGTGGCGGCGGTGGAGAGAACGAGGGTTTCTGGAAGCGCCGGCAGAACCGAGAGCGTTTGAGAGAGCGACAAAATAGAAAGAAAAGACTGGCGGAGAAAATGAGAAGCAAAGCAACAGTAAGGATTCATTTTTATAGCGGTGGAGGGGGGCGCACGTTAGGAAAACGGCGTACGTTTTGTGGGCCCACGAATCACCGTTCGTACTGCGCGTGGACTCACGTCTCTCCGACGTCGACGTATTTTTATTTTTATCATTTTTAGGATTGCATGTAACAGAAAGAATATAAATAATACTCGTTATTTCCTCCAAAATGTATTCTTACTTTTCTTTTTAGTTATTTATCAAAATATTAATTTTGATAATATTAACAAATTAGTATTTAATTATTACATTTTATTTAGCACAAAATATCCCTAACTTTATTACATTATATCTTCATTTACTTTAATTTCTAACTAAATTTTCAAAAATATTTTTAAATATCTCACTTTTTTGAGTTGAGTGATAGAGTATTTGTTTATCCAATTTATTTTTTTTTTAATGTAATTTTGGATGAATATTATAAAAATATAGCATAACATCTATACATATATTAACATAATATATATTATATTGATTTATATAAAATTAAAAAATTAAAAAAATAATACTCCCTCTGCATTTTAAAAATGACATTTATCTTTTATATCATTGTACTTAACATAAAATATTTTTATATTTGTATAATTTTTTATACAAATATTCTTATATTATTATTATAAAATACTAGTTGAACTATTTTTGAATTTTTTTGGACTTTTGAAAATTGAATATTATTCATTATCACTTTTTAAAAAATATTTATTCCTTCTGTCCCGCAAAAAGATTATCATTGATTTTTTGAGTATTAATCTTTAAATATTAATTATAATATCAATACGTAGTACAATTTAATAAAAGAAAATAAAAATATATTTATTAATTTTTTATAATATATATAAGAATATTTGTGAAATAAATTATTCAAATATAATAATATTTTTAATATTAAGTACAATAATGTAAAAATCAAATGATAACATTTGGGGACGGAGGAAGTATTATTTCCTTCTAGACAAAATTACATCCAATACTCATCTATTACTACTATTTTTAGAAATTTTAAAACTAAAAAAAAAAAAGAAAGCCTAGAATATCATGATAATATTTTAGTATTATTATACACAATTTATAATATTACAATATTTATTTATACGAGGAAAGTAATAAATTCATAATAAATGTTATATTATGTACTTTCCATTTTACTATTTAAATTTTAATAAAACAAAACAAAACAAAATGTAAAAATAATACTTGGTGTGTTCTAATTTTAATCAAATAATCATACACCAATATCAAAATACTCCTTCCGTCCATTTACAGTGGTTACATTTATATTTGGCGTCGTATTTAAAAAATAATAGTATTTTAATTATAGTAAATAGTTAAAAGTAATGTAATGATATTTTTGCCCTTACTTTTTTTGTGTAAAAGTAATGATGTGATGTAAAGTAAAGATATTTGTGGAAAAAAATAGAGTATTTAATGAAATATAAATTTTGTAATTGGACATCCCTAAATAGAAACATATAAACTTTGTAAGCGGACGAGGGAGTATGATCTTTATTTAAATTATAAATATACTACTATTACACATAAACTTATTTTTACCTAAAGTTAAATGACAATGTTAAAAGCTCTTACATATTTTCACTAACCAATAAAATAATATATTTTTTTAATTTATTACAAAATTCCAAAGTGCCCCTTTAAAAAAGGACGGAGTGAGTAACTATCGCGAAAAATATAATACTCCTATTTTAGTAAAATATATATATGATGCGTTTGGTTATCTTATATATAATATAAAATCAAATATTTTATCATTTCCGCATCAGATGTCCACTTCTGTTAGACACACAGTATTTTAAGTTACGTTAGTAAGTTATTAATATAAGTGATGCTATTATTTATTATTTTTTATATGAGTAATATCATTAGTATTTTAAATATTTTTAATATTATATGTCAATAAAATATATACCATAGGATATTATTTAAATTAGAACTAATTTTATAAAAAAAATTTAAAATTTTAAATATAAATAAAAATATTGTCTATTGAAGATATATATAAATAATTGGGTTTTGAATAGGTCATATTTATAAAATATTAAGAATTCAATTAAATTGATTTGTATTTATTAGAATATATTTAAGATGAGTAAATTTACTAAAAATAGAATTTGATCAATCTCTTATGAGATTCATAAAAAAAAATTGATCACCTGTGACGAGATACATAAAGTATAATTTAAAATAAAATTGTATTCCCTCCGTCCAAAGTATACGTATTTTTATTTTGGGACGTCCAATTAAATTACAAAGTAACTATTTTATTAAATACCCTATTTTTCCCATAAATACCTCTATTTTACATCACATTATTACTTTTATACCAAAAAAATAAGGACAAAAATGTTATTTTACTACTTTTACCTACACACTATAATTAAAATACAATTATTTCTTAATCTCCGCGCCAAAAATAAATATATGCTTTTAGCTTAGACAGAGGGAGTATAATATAATATAATATAATATATTCAAAACACTACTCTTAGCCTTGAGTGGTGTTTTGAATATATTATATTATAAAAATATATTCATATTATACTATTTTTTGTATATGATAATTCCTTTAAGTTTGAGATACAATTATTTATATAATATAGACTAGTAAATTTTCAAAAAAGATAATTAAAAGTATATTTTTTATTGAAAAATAATTAAAGAGTGAATCCAAAACAAACACACCAATATTAATTTTCAATTAGGATTATTAATTAGGGTGCAGGCACAGGGTAAGAAGCACGGGGGTGGTCGCATGTGATTGCAGCTTCACAATATGCTGACGTCGTATATGAAATCATAACTGAGCGGCTCGTCACCGTTGATGGTGCGTCAGTGGGCCCTACCTTTGATTTTATACAGTGCACGTACAGAAAATAAGGCTATAGTTGTATGTGAGAATGTCCCTACACTGTTCATAATTTTTTTTTATTTTACATATACATTTTTTTTTTCAAATTATCATCATTATTATTATTATTTTATTTTAGTTCATTTTATTTAAAATATTATTATTTTTATTATTTTAATTAAAAAGCACGCTATAATTAAAATATTTTTATTTTTTTATTTAAATTACAAATATATTATTATATATGTAAAATAAAAGATTAAAAATATCAAAACGTAATAAAAATAAAATAAAATAAAATAGAATATTTAAATAAAATGACGCAGAAGATAAATATATATCTTGCATACGGATAAAATTAATATATATTTTTTTAAAAAATACCAATATAAATAATATAAAGACTTTTAAACATATATACTCCCTGTCTCATTATATTTGACACTATTTTTTCCTTTATCCAATAATAATTGACTAACTTTATATTTTTTGCGTAAAATTTACTAAATTAAAATATACTTAATAAATATAAATTAATTTAATTTATTACATAACATATAACATTGTATAAGACCCATTTAAAACCTCTTATTTATATATTTCAAAAAAATAAATATTTTTATTTTTATTTAAGATTTCACCCTTTTTTAAATTAATTTATGTCAATTATAAACAAATAAAAATACTATTTACTTATATAATAGAAATTTTAATCTCTGCATAATGAAATATCATAATTCACTATTATTAATTAATTAAATATTATTTTTTAAAAAAAATATTGTATCCCTAATAAAAGTATCAACTATGTTCTAATAAGAAAATAATATTTATTTATTTATTTTCAAATTTTACTATTTAAATTTCACCAAAAAAAATTCCTGTGATTCCGTCCCATTTAATTATTTATATTATATAATAATTATCTGTACTAATATATTTTTTAACTATTTATTAATTACACAATTTTTGTACTTATAGTAAATCAGACAAAAAAATACTAGATAATATTATATTTTTATAATATCAAATCAAATATTTAAAAACCTCTAAAAAAATAAAAATCCACTCATTATTAACATGACGAATAGACAAAGAAGGATACAATAAAAGGGATCACAAATCCAATTCCAATTGTGCACTTTCGGGTAGCTGCTGTAGATTTTTATATCATTAAAAAAAAAAAAAAAAAGAATTTCCACTTTAGTTTCTTTCATGGGTAAATTTGATGGACATGTTCAATCACCTCATGGCATTTGTATTCTCATATTTCAGACAAAAAGACAAAAAAAATTACTACCCAATGCCTTAATAACACATCAAAGGGAATAACAAAATTTTTTTAAAAAAAGAAAAGAATTTAACATTCAAATTTTGGTAGGCCAATATTATACTCTACACATCATCTAAAAACAGGGAGACAAATAAAAGGGGGCAGCTCTCTGCACTGCACTTTATATAACGGATATTACAGGTAATATTCCCCAAAATATTCCACTCTATCTCATGAATTAGGAATTAGGGTTTGTTTGATTTATGTTTCCAACCAATCTTTTTTACTATTAAGATCTGTAACCTAATATTAATAAAATAAAAAATAATTAACAATACTTTATTCCATTACACAAATAAAAAAAATAAATATACTTTTTCATCACATCTCCCAATTTCCTATTTATTCTATTTAATCCTATCCACCTAAATCTCTATGTCGAAAATTACCGTATATAGAATGGATGAAGTATTATTTTTCGAATAAAAACCTAAACTAACACAAACCAAATAAATCCTTAAGGATAAATTACATAATACACATATAAAACCTCTATGTATTAGAATAAACTCTACATAATATACCCTTTTGTCCAAAAATAACAAATATGAATCAAATTATTATCATACAAATGACCCTATAGTGAATAAAAATAAATATTGTGAAATATTTAATATAACCTTTTATTAGTAAAAATATATAAAATAAATATATTGATTGGTTATTTATCTATAAATTATGCAAAATTTGTTTATTTTCAAAAGTCATGGATACAATAAATAAAATACATAGCATTTTTAATAATAATAATAATAATAATAATAATAATAATGAATCCACCGAGTTTCTTTTTCGGCAAATTTTATGTGGCAAAAAACACTTGGCTGATAAGACAATAAAAAGCTACAAAGATTTTGATTCCATCGCGGGGATAATCTAAGAGCCTAAAATCAAAGCAACTCCTAAACAAATGTGATAAATATTGGCAATAAAAACTTCACACTACAAGAAGAGACAAAGTGGGATTTAAAGTTATACAGAAAATGAATCATGTAAGCATTTGTTCATATGATCAGAGTTCAATCTAAAGAATAAAAATGGCAAGAACAATAATATTAATAATAACAATACTAAGATGTGATTCTATTCTATTCTATTCAAGTTATGAATTAAAGCTTTTTAGATTAAGCAAAAGATGGACGTTTTTTAACTATCTTGAAACAGAGCTCTAGAAACAGGAAACGGCGATTTTCCAGAATCATTTTGTGTCTCACCTATTGCCAATCTAGATCGTTTATTTCCCGACATAGGTGTTTCGCATACCACGCTATAACTAGATGTTGGTAGCCTATTCTTATTCCTTTTAGATTTATTAGTAAGAGAGTCGTGCTTACCTTTCGACATTTTTGAATGTTTTGGCGCCCACACTCTTTGAAGATCACGCGCCTTGCTGACAAATCGTGCAGTTCTTCTGGCCCTTTCTCTCCTCTCCCGGGCTTCATTTAGGATCATGGCATGCTCATCTTCTCCGATCCTTTCGGAGTTATTCAAAGGATTGGCGATTGGATGAGAGGAATCGCCTTCGGTTGAGACTGATTGGCTTATGCCGGCATCACGCCTCTCAGTTTTGTCTGGCTTGTCCCTCCACGATTGGTTGCTATCCTCACTGTTGAAGAGGTGGCTTGGAGCTTCGTCCTCATCACCGAATGGCAGCAAATCCATTTTCGCGTAAATCTTTTCCACAATATCTTCAAGCTTGGCTGAATACCTGGATAAATATGGTGTTAGAATTTCCTCTTCCTAAGAGATTATATGACTCTATAGTTTTGAAACTTTTGGCTCTATTCATCTACAATAATTTTTTTAAAGACAAAATTGTCCATAACTTCTTTGTGGTTTTGAAACTCAGCGTAAATTTATCTTTATTTTAAAAATTGCATGACGCCCCTTTATACTTTTAAAAAGGTTACATGAAATCCCTTCTGCGGTTTCGAAACCCAGTGTAAATCTCTATTTTACTTTAAAATTTGCATGGCAACCCCTTATACTTTACAAAATATTGCATGAAACCCCGTCATGCAAAAAAATACATATAGAAAATTATCTTCTCATCACACAAGGGAAGTTTTATGTCAGCAGAGTTTCATGCAACGTTTTTGAAAGTGTATCATGCAATTTTTAGAGTACAAAGAGATTTACACTGAATTTTGAAAACACAGGAATTTTGAAACTACAGGAAGTAATGAGCAATTTTACCTTTTCTTTTAAAAAAAATAATCATATCAAATGTACTTTTTCTTTCACAACAAATCATAACATCATATACTAACTTTTTATTTTCTCAAAATTTTCAAAATTCCATAACTTTTGGTATAAATGGAGCTATGTTTATCTACCAATAGTTAGAAATGTCGGCTGCCATATGAATTTAGAGGACATTGCACCAAGAAAAATATGATCTTTATCTACAAATCATATCAAAGGAGAACATGGATAACATAATTGAGTATAACCTTGCTTTTATAGTTCGTTCGACATAGTCGTATAGGCTGATCGGACCTTGAAATCCTCCAGCAACAAGGTACTGAACGATCTCTAACAGAGCACATATCTGCTTCAGCATCTTCTGTTTTCTAGATTCCGCCGTTACTGCTGAAAGATCCGATTGCATAATCTCCATTCGGAGTAAAATCTGGAACTCATATCTAAATCATGTTAGGGAAATTCTGGAAAGAAAGATATAACATGAACACTGCTATTGTAATGGAAAAGTAAACAGAAGGATACTCTCTAACTATGTTCTCTGACGATGAACAGGGATCGAAATCTTGGTGTATCTTCTTCATTTCCTTAGGTGTCTTCAGCAGAATCTTGGCTAATTTGTCGATTACATATTCAATATCAGAGCCATCGGGATTTTCCTTCAGCTGTTGATCTTCACAATTATTTTGAGTGTTGAACTTATGTTGTAGCCAATGAATTGAAGACTTGACGACCCGCTCTGCCAGATTCTGCAAATCCTTTCCAGAAGTTAAACCCTGTTGGATTCTTTCAGATAGATTGTTGAAAAAGGTCTCGGCTGTCTCTGGTTTTGCAATCGGCATAGCTCCATCTTTCGCCGGAGATGGCTTCCAAGGTGAAGCATTAGAAGAGGATGTTACCTCAAACTTGGTTCCAGGCGACGTTTTCAAGCAATGTGAATTGGCACTACCAATTTGTTTCATCCAGCATTTAAGAAACTTTAGCTTCTTCGATTTTTCATAGTATCGGGCCATATAAAGCTCAAACAAATCAAAATTAGTCCCACCAAAGGCCGCCTTGCAGAAGGAACTCCATGTCATTTCCTGATACAATCGCCTTTGGCTCTTCGTCATTTTTCTATCTCTATGCGGCTCACAATTCCCGGAAGTTGAGGTATCAGTTTGTGAACCAAAACAACTGTTCGAATCAATCATGCCCGCATCACATGTATCACGAATTTTATCATCATCTATCTTGGAGAATTTAGATCCCAATTCATCTCCAATCGAAACACAACCAGCATCAGCATCCAGGATGTCGATGAGGGCAAGATGAGTCGTGAAAGGCTTCAGACAACCTGTGACTGTATCCCCATTCTTACCGGAGAGTGCGACCATTGCCCAATAGCCTTTCACATGAAGAAAGCTCAAAAATATTTGCCATATTGGCAGTTGATCATTAGAGCTCACTCCACCCATTTCTCCCTGCAGAATTTCAAGAACCCTATTGGCCAAAATGTTACCATCACTCTTCTTTGTGTTCTTCCCCGACTCATGAAAGGGTTCGCGCACTAAAACTGTCTCCCTCGAGCCTCCAATCTTTCCACACTGCTCGTATCTATAAATAGATTTAACAAGAAGCTTAGCATTTTCTTTGCCTAAATCAGCCCAAAATGATCGTCCGAAGTATGAACTCTGTGAATCTCCATGCGCCGATGCATTCAAAATGTCATCATTCTTGATACTACTAGACGAACCTGACATGCTCAAGAACTCGAGATCGCAGCACTTGCATTCTAATGGCTTTGAGTTCACATCCAATATCTCAAGGCTCAATTCTCCTCTATGATGAAAATCGCCGAAACTATGAATGTCGAAGGACATCCCAATTTTCGGATAAATTAAACATAAAGGTAATAGTGCTGATCCCAAAACAATCACATCACTAGAACAAAATCCCCAACCGAATTTCCTAAGATCTTCCTTCAAACAGTTTAATTCGATGCCAGAGTTTCTATTCTTCTCATCCATACATTTGATTTTCTGTTCTTCAATCTTGATATCGATAAAACAGAGATGAATATCCCTTGCAACAAATGCATCATTCACACAACTGAACACTTCATCAAACTCTCGAAACTCCAAATAATCAGCCAAAGAATTAACAGATGAACTAATAGGCGAAATCAGAAAGACCAAATTGGATGGTATTTTAAAAAAATCGCCATTCTCCTCACCTGGAAGATTGGAATCCTCTTTGTCCCAAGCGCTGCTGTGTATTAATTGAAGCAACGAGCTCGCCGTGTAAGAAGCACGTGGACAGGATCGCGAATTTGGCCAATCAGCGACGCTGCTAATCGAATTCAAGCTATTGCAGAGGGAATCTAGGGTTTGGGAGGGACGGTTAAATGAAAGGGAAGAGAGGGAAAATTGCGGTGGGAGAACAGCGGCGGAGCGAATAGGAGATAGCGATGAGAAAAATAATTTGTAGGCGGAGAGAGATTCCGATATCGGAGGGAAGCGGAGCAGCCGGGAGGCGACGGCGGTGACAGCCCGGAGGTAGGGTGTAGGGTCTTGGAGAGTGAGGAATGGATACAGATCCACGAGTAGAACTAAGCGTTTGGTTCTGGAGAAGTCCGGCAGCGGTGGACTCACCGGCGGCATTGGAGAAAAGTTCTGTCGATGGCGGCGTTGCGTAACTCCAGAGATTCAAACCCGCCGGAGAGAGGTTAGATTTGAGGAAAAGTGGGTTGCTATTATGCGCCGCGGGGGCTCACGATAAAGTCGTGCGCGGGAAACGGCAAAAAAGAAAATCAGAACAGGCGGGCCAAAATATATTTTTAAATAATCTGAAGAGAAAATAGAAAAAATAAAAATAATTCCAAATCAGGATGATTTCTTCAAAATAGTCTCAGTTATAGACTTGTAGCATATTTTCTTCCTGGTTTCGTTTTAAATTTTTTTTGAACGTATTTTAAAAAAAGTACACACTTGTTACTTTTATATCATTTATATAATCTTTTATATTATAATTTTAAATTTTTTAATTAGATTTAGTATTATAAGTAATATTATAATGAGATACTATTTCCATTCGATTCTAAAGTTACATTTATTTTTACATATTGATTTTTGCATATTAATTACTTCATCAAAGAAGTATACATTTATTTTTGGCGTCAAATTTAAAAAATAATAATATTTTAATTATAATGGAAAGGTAAAAGTAGTGTAACGACATTTTTGCTTTTACTTTTTGATATAAAAGTAAGGATGTGATGTAAAGTAAAGGTATTTGTGAAAAAAAGTTGGGTATTTAATGAAATGATTACTTTATAATTGAACGTCTCAAAATAAAAATATGTATATTTTGTAGCTGGACGAATATTATATTAAAATATAATATTAAAAAAAATTATAAAAAAATCACTCAATTAGTGTCTTATAATATTAATAAAAAAATATTTGTATAAAAAATTATACAAATATAAAAATATTTTTAAAATTAAATATAATGACATAAAAATTAAATATGACCCGAGAGGACAAAGTATTTTATAAAAGAAAAAACAATTTTTTCAAGAAACTATAAAGTCAAAATAATAAAAATCTAAAATTTTGGGCAAGAAACAAACCCTACTAGTTTTATTGGACTGAAAGAATAATATTTTTTCAAAAGAAAACGAAAGAAAGCACGTGTCTGGAAGGATTGTCACGTGCGCAACGGTTATGAGAGTAACCCTCCAAAACGACGACGTACTGAACTCTTATCTTCATCTTCTCCAAATTCCCACTCCGTCCATGGGAAGCTTAGAAAATTTCTAACTGCAGAGAAAAACTTCTAACTGCAGAAAAAAGGTGGAAAGGAAAGATCAAAAGATGCCCGCCATATCCACGGCCTTCAAGTTTTCGATTCTTTCACATCCACGGATATTCATTCCAAAACTATTATCCCCTGGCAACCATTCCGCGTTTAGAAATTCTTCATCCTGGCTCCAATTATACACCTCAATCGCAAATTCTAGAACAACTCTGTTCAGTCTAAATTCTTCCGGGGAAGAATCGGGCGTTTCAGAAGCTGAGGACGAATGGTTGCAGAAATTACCAGACAAAAAGAAGCCGTTGTATTCGCACAGTTTGCCTTGTGTGGAGGCGTGGCTTAGGAATTTAGGGTTTTACCAGAGCAGAGACGATAGGGCTGTTTGGTTCGTCGAGAAGCCTAATTGGCATGCCCAGCTTTCACTTGATGTCACTGATTTATACATCAGGTTTGTTGTGCATTTGGAGATTGGATTTTTGTGGTTTGGATCATTTTTGGTATTTTGTGAATTAGGGTTTCAAATTTGTGGTTTCTGTTACTCGCATTGCTGATTAAGAACAAAGTTGCATAGAGAATTTTCAACAGTATGAGGATATAAATTGGCAGTTTGATGAGTGATGATTGCAGAGGATAAATAATTTTGTCCTGTTAGAATGAAACTGTGTGCTTATAAATTGTGTTGGATTCAATTTTGGTAGACGCCATTGTTGCTGAATCAAGCTTCTAAGATTTGAGCAAACTCTTTATGTTATGGAGTTTGGTTACTTAATTTGGGCTATTCTATGTAGAAGTTTTGAAAGTTTAGGAGATTTGGAAAATTTCGGAATAGTAAATATTAGGATATTTGATGCTGATGCTCTGTGAGAGGTAAAAAAGTAGTATTTGACAATGCTATTCCGTGAAAAATCAATGTCGATAAATGAAGTGTTTAAGTTGGGTTGTTTGGTTTTGATTTGATTTTGTTTTAGATAATATTTTTATATAATATTTTGGAAAAGAAACTAGTGAATTTTTATCAAGAATGGTGTATGCTGAATAGTGATGATTTGGATTTGAAATGCAAACCAAACACACATGGTCTTGATTTTGTATTTTAGTTTTGGGTTGTGGTTTAAATTTTGATGAGATTGTTGTGTGTTAAAGAAAATAAAACTAAACTACGAGCAAAAAGATTAATGGGTTGGCATAAATAGAAAGATACATATATATTACTAGGCTACGTTTAGATATGTTTTGGAAACATTTTAAAATTTTAGGTTGGTTTGAGAAATGTAAAAAGTTAGAATCGAAAATAGTTGTTTAATGCAGGTGTTGTATGTGAAGTTTTGAATAAAAAATAGATTCATTGATGTAATGTTTTAACTAAAAAATATGTATTAGATGTGATATTTTTTTAAATGATACATTTGATGAATAGTGCGTAGACGAGTTTGAAAACATAAGTAAATAGAGTCATTTGCAACTCCATTGAGTTGTTGCTTCGACAAATTAACTTCATTTAGAGTATTCGATCTATTGATGTACTAAATTTAGATTAGCTCAGAATCTGGATTGGATGTAAGTATCGATTTTGAGTTGATTTTTGTGGTAATAACAAATGTAGGTATCTCAAAGTTGGGCCTGGAAATCTTGATAAAGACATTGAAAGAAGGTTTAGCTATGCATTGAGTAGAGAGGATATCGAAAACGCCATTCTTGGAGGGCCCTGAAGGTTAGTTTGGATGTTAACGGATTCCGGCAACCACAGCCCATCTCCGGCGAGCTCCCTTTCATTGATCTCTCATTCTATTATATTCTATTCTATTTTGCCATTGGATTAATCCTTCATTATATAGAGTTAGTTCATGTTTGGCGATGGTGTTAATGGAGATAAGAGAATGTAATTAGAATCCATATGGAATGGAGAGAATAACAACTTTGGCTTTTGATGATGATGACATATTGGCATTTGTTGGATTGAACTTTATATTAGCATTTAAGAAATAATTTTTCTATCTTAATATATAATTATTAATATTATATAATAATTATTTTTAAATTATTTATTAATTATAATCTTCCTAAATTGTCGTATTTACCATGTTTTCTTATTTAATATTTTAATTTGAAATAACTTTTAAAATGAAATATGAATAATTATGTAGATATTATAAAAAAAATAGAATAATATTTTTTTATTAAAGGTTAATCTTTGAGATAATATTATACTTTCTCCCGACGGAGAGAGTATTATTTATATAAAAAGTTTTCCAATTTTTTTCAAATTAAAGATAAATAATTTTATTTTACTATTATACTAAAAATAAATTTTATATTTAATTAAATCCATGTTTATATAATATTAAATAATTATTTTAATTTAAAATTTCAATATTCAAAACTCCAAACACAAGTGCAAAAGAAGCCAACACATATAAATGCATTTCCATACACAATTTTAATTTTTATATATTATTATTAAAATTAATAATATTCAAATATCACAGTATTCAAACACATTAAATAAATATTTTAATTTAAAATTTTACTATATAAAACTTTCAACCCAACTATCAAATTCATAAACAAACAAACACCTGGCCCTCACCCCTATGATAATATATAGTCAACAGCACATTCTATAAGAAAGGACATAATGATATGAAGTGAACTAGGGTTTGTAAGGTTATAAGTTTTAAACATTTGACATATTTAAGTTTTAGTTGCCACAAATGATTAGCTTATCTTGCTAACCTAAATAGATAGAGAGAGAGAGAGAGAGAGAGCTCATTGAACATTAGCCTTCCTTCACACATTTACTTACTACACAAAACAATATTACACTACATGATGATATATTAGATCATTCATTCCTTCATTTTTTGCCAATATCTAAATTAAACCTTAAGGTTACCTTAAGTTAGTTAATATGCAGATTCTTCTGCAGATTGGTAGTGAGACCAATACTCCTTCACTAGTTGCCCGAACAACGACTCATCCCGCTTCATCAGCTTCCCCGGCTCGTCGAATTCCACCACCTTGCCTGATAATCCATCATAGTTAAATTAATAATGTATGTATAGATAAATGATCGATAATTAGGCCTAGCCTAAGCCTACCGTCGCTGATGGCAAGAACCATCGTGGAGTCCATCACCGTCGGTATTCTATGAGCCACAGTGATCACAGTGCATTCCGCAAATTCAGTCCTGATCGTCTTCTGCAGGATCATATCCGTCGCATTGTCTATTGACGCAGTCGCTTCGTCCAGGATTAAAATCTTGCTTCTCCTCAATAATGCGCGCCCTAAACAGAACAACTGCCTTTGCCCCATGCTCCAGTTCGATCCGTCTTCTAAAACTGCAAAATATAAAGTGTATATTATATTTACTTGGTGTTTTATTCCTATACGAATCTCTGTAAATATTTCTAAAAATTACGATAATAAAAGCCAACAACATATATAAGTAAATACTAGACAACACACTCATAACATTCACCCTGATCTATGAATTTAGAGCAGTTATACATACATGCCAAATTATTCGGAAACTCAGACTTGTTAAGGCTCGAGCGAAACAAAAATACTAAAAAATGATCGAATAGATCTGACTCAACAAAGGTCGATCACGAACTACATACATTTAAAAAAAGAGCTAATAGTCATGCAAAGTGACATTCCTTCAAAGATAGGTAAAAAGTAAAATAGAGTATTACATAAATTTATTAAAGAGTTAGTAAAAGAATACAAGGATAAATAAAAATAATAGTAGCAAATTAGTAATTATTTGTAAAAATAGTGGTCTTAAAGCTATGGGTGAATAACTATAATGAATTATGTATAAATTTAGCGGACAACAAAAAAAGTGATATAATTACTCCGGACAGAGAGAGTATTTTGTAGGAACATATATTTCTTTCGTTCCTTAACAAAGTATCTATTTGTTTTTTCGTCATTGCATATGTATTATACAATACTAATAGAAATATCTTTATTTTTTTCTTTTAATTTATACAACGTATGAATATAATATAAATATTCAAAGTTCGAAAAGAAAAAAATAAATGGATACTTAGTTAAAAGATGAAGATAGTATATTCTTAAAAAAATAAATGGATATTTAGTTAGGAAATGCATACAGGAAAAAAAATATATATATATATATATATATCAAATAAACCCAGCCAAATGTATGCCAAATATTAAAGGTGAAAAGTTACCTGGTGAATCTAGTCCCTCTTCTTTCTCTTGCACAGCATCTTTTAGTTGACACTTTCCCAGAACCTGTCGGTATATTTTTCATGGCATCAATCTATGCATAGATAGAATTTACTAAAAGCAGTGAAAGTTTAATTTAATTTAACACCTTTTTACCTCCCATATATCCTCATCACTATGTTGTCCCAATGGATCCAAGTTGTACCTCACAGAGCCGGTGAAAAGAGTCGGGTCTTGAGGAATAATTCCAAAACGTGACCTCAAGTCATGAAGCCCGATTTTTGTGATATCGACACCGTCCACCAGAATCTGCCCTCCGGCCGGCTCGACCAAACGGAACAATACGCCGATAAGTGTAGTCTTCCCACTGCCTGTTCTTCCGACAATGCCAATCTTGTGGCCTCCTTCAAACGTGCAAGTAATGCCGCATAGAACAAGCGGTGCATCGGGTCGATACCTTATCTGTTTCAAGGTTCACAATGTGTTATTAGTTCCAACATATTGTTACAAAAATGACGGCTGTTGTGCTGAATTATTTTATAATTCAGTATACCACTAACAAACAAATAACATACACGACACTACAATTAACAGACCTAACAGCATACACGATATAACTACAAATAAATAACACAATTTATATTAACATGATACAAAATCAAGCATGTAACCTGACACCACATGATATAATCATGTACATCTAATGTTACTATTGATTTCAAGATAAAAAATAAATTCATACGATATAAACTAAAACAACACATGCTTTAATAATATATGTGTTAAATAGAAACATATATTGCCTGTCTATTTTATATCGACTTACTACTGATTGGGGAAAATAAGCACCGTAACCGTCCTGTACAAACATATATGGTGTCGAAAATTGTTCAAGAGACTAGTATCATTTTACCTCCAAGTTTTTTATTTCGACTCTGCCCTCGCTCGGCCAGTTGGCAGGGGGGCGACTCTCCTCGATAACTTCAGGCGCCTCGCTTTCGATGTGCATGTACTGGTCGAGTCTTTCGACTGAAATGATGTAGTTCGCGAGCATGCACTGGTTGTTGATGGAGAAGACAAGGGACATGTTGAGCGAGAGACCGTAGGACAGAGCCATTCCGATAAATCCTGCAACAACATTCAACAATGAGATCAGTTCTTACACGACAGTAAAAAATAGCACACGACAGACCAATCTAGCTGCTCGGCGCATTGATACAAACCAGAGGTGAATGTTCCCGAAGGAAGCAAGACCATGCATAGGCCGGCGAAGGAAAGAACAACAGCACTAAGAGTCTCTAGCCTCTGAATCAGCCACTCATTTGCCGAAAAATAGTGAAAGAACGGGCTGCCATTCGTGTCGACTAGTTCCAGATTCTTGGCGAAGAACCTGTCTTCTTCTTTGAATGCTCTTATAGTAATCACCCCGGCCACAGATTCAGCCAGATGGTTTGCGACGAAAGATTTTGTCGTCCCATTTATCCGCATCAACTCTTTCGCCGAGGCGAAGTAATACTTCTGCAAATGTGCAGCAGATTATGTGTATACAATAATGAAGAATATGCAGTTCAGCTCATAGAACAATCTACATCGAAGAAGGTTACCTGCAGGCGGATAGCAACGTAGATCATTGGTACAGAAACGAATAAAACTTGCCATGTAATGACAGCCAACACTGCGAGATTAGTGTAGCAATTTATAGTCGATCCGGCTGTGAACACGAAGTTGAAGGGGATGTCGAGATCAGTGATGCTCAAATCTGCCGAGACCTGCAGGAATCGCGACGTTAGTTTCGTGCGTGGAGTTGGATTAAAACTGCAATGAGTTCTTACCCTGCTTAGTATTCTCCCGAGAGGCGTTGAGTCGTAAAATGTCATTGGAGCTCGGAATAAAGATATCAGTAGCTGCGAAAACAAGGCTCTCGACGCCTGCATTCCGAGCATGACTGTGGCCACGGTTCTAACAATCAGAAATAGCGTCGACACAACGCCAATCAGCAAGTACACAAGAATCAACCTCAGCGTCTGTACGCGCGGATCGTCGACATTCGCTGCCATCCAAGAATTTTGAATCACCTGACCGATGGCGAATGTTAAGTGACTGAGAACAGCCGCGGAGAAGATAAGAAAGCCTTTGTTCTGCTTTAAGTAGAGAATGTAAGGCTTAAATCCTGTATCCCCAACATCCCTCTCTTCTTTCTTTATCAACTGCTCGCCTCCCGGCGCCGTAGCATTTTCTACGTACGTCTTCCGAATCTCTTTTGGCGAGGCTTTGCCCCTTTGAGAAGCAGCTACTTCTGAAAGCCTTTCAGAACCGGCAGTCTCTTCGTGTGCATGGACAAGATCCCGAAATTCTTGGCAAGATGCAAGCAATTCAGAGTAAGGTGCAGCATGTAAAATCTCGCCATCGGACATCAGCTGTTCGAAATTTCATATTTGTTAGAAGATATATGAACGCGAAAGTAATATTCGAAAATGCGCAAGGAAAACTCACCAAGATGGAATGGAATGCAGGAAGGAAATCGACTTGATGAGTAACGAGTAAGACTGTCTTCTGCGATAAGGCTGCCATAACATATTCCTGTCAAACGCCAATCATAAAATCAATTAGCAACGAGCGAAACTCAAGCATAGAGCCGAGGAAAAATGGAATCATGCTAACGTTGAACAAGCTTGTGGCGGTGTGTGCATCGACAGCGCTAAAAGGATCATCCAAGAGGTATATATCAGCATCTTTATAAAGAGCACGGGCGAGTTGGATTCGTTGTTTTTGTCCGCCACTGAGATTAACTCCTCTTTCACCTATCTCAGTGAGATCACCATACGGCAGAAGCTCGAGATCCTTTACCAGCGAACACCTCTCCAGCGTATCGTGATACCTCTTGCTGTCCAAGGCAGAACCAAACAGAATGTTTTCTCGAATGCTCCCTGTTTGAATCCAAGCAGATTGCGAGACGTAGGCAATGGTCCCGTGTACTTGAACCTACAAAAATAAATCACCTTGAAAATAATCAATATGTAAAACCTGAACATTATTAAAGGTTAAGACCATCTAACTTACAGTTCCTTCGGTTATCGGGACCTCTCCAAGAATTGCCGCGAGGAGGGTGGACTTCCCTGAACCTACTTCGCCACAAATTGCGATCTTTTCACCTTGTTTAACTTCCAAATCAATGTTTCGTAGTGTTGGCTTTGATTGATTCCCGTCCCACGAAAGATTGGCCGACTTGAAACAGACACTGTGATTAGTATCATCTGCGAGTGACTTTCCCCGGACATTTGCAGTTTCCAGCTCGGGCGCCTCGAGAAACTTCACAATCCTAGTAAAAGCGACATTCGCTTGAATGAACACTCCAATGACATCGGGGATAGTTCTAACAGGATCCTGAACCAGGCGCAACGTCGCAACAAATGTAAAGACATTGCTAGAAGTCAATGGAACGCCGAGGAAGTAGCAAGCGCCGAAGGTAGCTGCCGAGACTAACACAGGGGAAGACCAGAAAAGGAAAGAATTGTACGCCCTCCGGATCTGAACAGCCGACAGCCATTTATCTTCAACCTTTCTCAGATTCTCTATAGCGCGCCGGAAGTGAGTCTCCCACGCGTATAACTTCAAAACCTTCATGTTCACAAGAGCCTCGCTCATGGCCTTCAATCTTTCGTCCTGCGCCACCATGAGTTTGCTCTGAAACTTATGCTGTAGCTTCGCCAACGGCATATTGCACAGAACAGTGATGATTATCACAGTCACAGATGCAACCGTAGCAAGTCCAACAGCCTGGAAGAGAATGGCAATTGCAAAACAAAGCTGGATGCTCGTCGTCCATATCTGATGAAACCAGAAAGGGAACTCTCCGATTCTGTAGGCATCCACGGTAACATAGTTCATGATTTCGCCGCTGGAGTGAATCAGCTTAGCGGCATTAGATAATCGCAGCTGTTTTCGGTAGACAGCTGCAGAGAGCAAAGATCTTATCTTAAGACCGAGTAGTCTTGCTCGAAAGTACCACTGTCGTTGAGCTATGGATTCGATCATTTTTGTACAGAAAAGTGTGATAACCAATACATACTTTTCGTATTCGAAATCCTCCTCGCCTTCAGCGACATTGATGAAAGCTTTGAGCAGCAAAGGACCTGCGGAAACAGTGATTACCTTCAATAGTGCGAAGAAACCAGACATGAATATCTCTTTCCAGTGACATAAAAATATCGTCTTCAAGATTGACGGCTGGGATGTTGAACTAGACTCCCTTTGTTCGCTATGTTTCTCCAAAAACTTCACGTAGCATGACTCTGCTCGATCATCCTCCCGCAACTTTGGCATATCTTCATCCTCAAGAGTTTTCTCCTTCCCCAATCTCATCAATGGATTCAGCCACCAAAATGTGTATCTACTGAAGAAACCTGCTCCCGAAAATGGAGTCACAGTAGCAACTTTACACTCTTTGCTTCTGCCATTGCCATTGCCAAGAAGTGGATTGTAAATATCTTCATTTCCTGCATCTCCTCCATATCTCAAACCTTTGTAAGTGCATAGGATCAAGACAGTAGATCCTATGAATGACAGAACATCCGTAACAATCTTAACCGACATCTCCTTCCTAAGAACAGCAGCAATAACCGAGAATCCACACATTATTCCAGCAAACAGGAATGCAAGAATCGACAACAACCTCAATGGAGCTCTCGAATAAAACTGTCCCCTGAGGCTTACAAGCAACCCGACGACTAACCACATTAGTCCATGAAGCACGAATAGGATCCACCAATGCATAGGCAAAACACCCCGCGATTTCCTCAACTTCTCCTCCAAGATCCAGATTCCCATAAATAAATAAACTAATCCAAGAAAGCCATTATACATAGCTGATACAATCTGCAGCCTTGATTTGTTTCTTAGAGACGAAACCGATGATTTGGATGATGCCTTGGATAAAACAGTGAACAAGAGCATGATAAAAAGCACAACATCGAAACTAATTGTCACGACATGATTGGTGCAGGAAGAAGGATGCATCAAGAACATCAGATCAGCACGGCAAGAAGTGCCGTGGACGGTCCAACATCCAGAGTCATCGTCCCCGCAGAACAGAGTCCATATACTCCCCAACACCATCCTCTCTCAATTGCTATATCTGCCCTTCCCAACTCTGGATTTTCGGAAACAGACTATCAAAAATGTTTTCACATGAATAAATTTCTTGCAAGATTAAGAGTGGAGCATATGAAATCTAACAAGAACTCAAGATGGATACAAAGCAATCACAGCCAAAATTGATATGATCCCAAACAATTTTGGGAGAGAACAAAGTCAATTCTTGATAGCTTGACAGAAGGATGCAAATTTTTTGATGACGTAAATGCATCTATATATATATATATATATAATATCAGTCAATTGAGGAGGAATCAATCATAGTATGCTCTTCCACGATCTACCAGGTATCAAATCTCAGTAGTTATAGCCATATCTAATGTCTCATTTCTTACACTAGCAAAAGCAAATATATATAATCAATACAGCATCATGGATAAACAAATCAAGAGAAATACGCCATACACCTTACATACAGTATGTTACGTCTTACAGTGTGTGTATATATATATGATGTATTTCAAACATTTTTTTTTATTTTGGCAATATTTAATTTTGGAAAAGCATCTCTATCAACTATATTTTTTATCTCACGGAACATAACATCAAATTGGCATCAAAAATACTAATAAACTAAATCGGAACCTCAATTTCACTTTTACTGTGTTTTGGAGTGTGACATGAGCAGGACAAGGAAGAAGAATGCAGCCATTGAGTAAAACAAGCGACGACAGACACGAAAGGTCGAAAACAATGATTAAATAACGCCATTAGTGGCTCCATTAAAATAACCCTAAATCAGAGCACATAATCACTAAACAACAAGGCGAACTAATTAAAAATATTCAAGGTCCAGAAATGGGGGTATCGTAGAATCTCCGAAACTTAAGCATCAATACAGCAGAAAACATCAAAATTAAGAATGGGGCAGGTAATACATAATCCAAAACGTTCGGCGTACCGCGTATAGGGTTCGGAGTGGAAACGGCGCGGAAACTTCGAGGATGGACTCAGAATATATAATCGAAAGACGACGACGCACGGAATGACGTCGAATGCGAACACGTCATCATCACTGCTCGTGTGGGGATAGATATATATATATATGTGTATGTATGTATGTATATGCATGTGTGTCGTGTTGGTGGTGTGATGTGCAAATGGCGTCACGGCTCACGTCTCTCCATGGATGGCCGAGCGCCGAACCGCTTTTGAATTTCCACATCAATTTTTGATATATGCCAGCCCCATGGATGTGGGCCTTTGCAGAAACGCCAGGGTTTATCTATCGGGAGTCCATGGACCACGTGTCCCAGTGGATTCCCACTGTTGGTGGATGCAGATCCAACTGTCGATGGCCTGGATTCGTCCCCTATTAGTTAATAGTAATACTGAATTATATACTACCAAATATGGTATTTTAGGAAGGATAAATCAATAATTTATTAATAATAACTCATAATATTTTTTTTTTATTTTTTTATGAGTAACTTTATTGATATTTTAAATATTTTTAGTATTATATTTTAATAAAATATATATAATATAGATATTATTTTGTAAATATTAAAAATTTATATAATACAAATAAATTTAAAAATATAATTATTTATTTATAATAAACTTAAAATTAATTTTATAAAAAAAAAGTTTTAAATATAGATAAGAATACTTATTTATTGAGATGGAATAAAAATATATGAATTTTGAGAGAGTAGAGTTAAAAATTAAATTAAATTAATTTATATTTATTAAGTATGTTTAACATGAATAAATTTACTAAAAATAAAAGGAAAATATTTTTATGAAACGAATAAAAATATGAAAAGAGTTCATATGTTGCGGTACGGAAGAGTATAATTCATAGTTAAATTTAAGACTATTCAAAAATACTTGTATCCGAAATCAAATAGAATACGAAATCATTTTTTCAGAAATTTCGGCTAGTTCGATTATTCGATTTTTATATTAAAAATTAACTATATTATTTTAAAACTTTAAATTTAATTGTAAATTTGGCTTATACAAAAAGATACACAACCATATTTATTTTAACGCGGCCATACTTTTTAAAAGACAAATTTCTTAATGTATTAAAAGAGGTATACGGATCGTGTTATACACAATTATATTTAAACATCATCAAGATACATAGCCTTAAGATAAGACATGATCGTGTACAATTGTATACGGTCGTGTAAAATCATACACAATCGTGTTACTACAATCAACACAAACTCAATCAAAGTACACGATTGTGTATGGTCTTAAGATTATGTCGTGACGGTGTTTAAACAGGCCGTGTTAATATATTCAAAACAAAATATAGTCAAAATTGACTATAAGTCAACACCGTTATGTCCGCGTCACTGATTTTTTCAATATAAAACTGGGGGATGGTTACGGTGCTGATTTGAACAATGCTGAGTTTTTGCATCAACACACGTTAAATATGTAAACAACACACATTAGTATTACACACAACACATGTCATGTATAATAAAGGTATATGTTGTTTTTTAATAATAAGTGTATTGTATACAAATATGTTACGTGTTAAAAGCAACTTATGTGTGTTGTATGAGAGTATATCATGTGTTGTTAGTTCATGTATTGTATTTGTATTATATTAAAATATATAATTTTTTGTTTGTAGTAATACGGTGTGTTGTCTATAGTAATACTGTGTGTTGTTGAGACTATAGCATGCACGTTTTGTTCATATGTTATATTTATATTATATTAACATATATACTATGTTGTTTGTAGCAATATTATATATTGTCCAATAGCACAAGGTGCTGAATTTTAACAACGGCCATAAAACTGAAATTGATTCAAATAGTTTATATTAAAATTAAGCGGTGAATTTTTTATATTAAAATCAAAATTAGTTAATTTTAAATCAATTGATACCAAAATAAAAAATTTTTTCCCCATACTTACATTTATGAAAACCGTACTATTTAAAATAAATTGGGTAAACAAATTGTTGTCGTCCGTCCTCCCATGGCGGTGCTGTTGAACATTTAATTAGTGTCTATCCACTGAACTCTTACCTAAAACATGTGCCCTGACACTTTCCTAATCGGATATTGTAAATATATATTTTTCATTATTTAATTTTTAAGAGAAAAATTACTTAAATCCAATTGTCTGAAAATTGTACGGTTCTATTTATGAATTTTCATTTTATAGTTATCAATTAAAAAATAATAATTAATTAATTACTATTTTTATTTTTTTATTATATTAAAAATTACTCTCTCCGTCCCACATATCATGTCCATGTTGTCATTTCTGTCCGTCCTATATACCATGTCATTTTCCTTTTTTGGAAAATAATTACAAATTTTAATCTCATTTTAAATTTTTTATTTTTTCAATTTTTTTAATTAAACTAATTAATTATCTTAATCTTAATTTATAATTATTTATATTATCGGGTAATTATTTTCACTAATATATTATTAATTATCTACACCCCTCCTAAAATACCGTATCTACAGTGTAACAGACATGGTACGTGGGACGGATGGAGTATATATTTAAAATATCGCTTCAATTATCTCACGAATCTAAGTAAGAATTTAAGAGGCCAACCCCCAAATTTTATTTATATTTATAATATAGATATTATTATTATTATTATTATTATTATTATTATTATTATTATTATTCTACTAATTTACCCCTCTCCCCCTCCAATACTAAAATTATACTTCATTATTCCAATTAAAAATTATTTATTTCGTCCCAAACAAATTGTCTTTTTTTTTTTATTTCTATTTATTTTAAAATACTTGTTCTATTTCTTTTATTTAGCAAATATATTCGTCACTTTATAACAAAAATATTCTTATTTTTTCAAAATTATTCATAATTATTATTTTAACATACTTTTTTTAAAATTATTCAAAAAGTAAGAGTAATTAGTTAGTCTTTTACATTTACTTTATACATATTTTTAATTAAATACTATTATTCTTTAATTCTCAAGTCAACATCCAACAAAACATCTTTTATGAGATGGAAAGAGTAAAAATTATCACTTTATTATACTTTATTTTTTCATTTTCAGTAACAAAAAAAACAAGGCAATGTTAAATCGATAAAAATATTCCAGCTTTCAACCCCTTAAGTTGGGAAACTAATTTCGACATATTTATAAAATACCAAACATTTATTTCAATTTAAATTTTAATACTCTATCCGTCCACGGCCAATTTATATATTTTGTCATTTTAGTCTGTCCATCGCAACATATTTATTTCATTTTTTTTTTAATAAATGTATCTTCCACTAAAATATAAAATTACCATACATTTTATATAATATTACACAAATACCATCAAATAACACCACTTAATACCATAAATATTAAATGGTATAATAGTCTTTATGTATATTAATTGTACCACATATCAATGTAATACTAATATACTAAAATCTACGTACAAAAAATAAACAGATAGATAGAATGTGGACTAAGGGATAATTCAAATTTTCAAATTCTAACTTTAAAACCTGTAACAAACATCCCCCCACAATTCTTATAATTTATAAACTACACAAGGTTTTATTATATCTTAAAAATTATTACTTTATTTGTCCGCCTCTAAGGATTACATTTATATTTTGAATTATTGTATTTAATATTAAAAAGTATCTTTATATTTGTATAATTTTTTGTACAAATATCATTGTATCAGTATTATAAAACACTAATTGAAGTATTTTTTTAATTTTTTCTTAATTTGTACTGCATTTTGATATAATAATTAATATTCAAAAATCAACACGCAAAAAGTAAATGAAACCCGCTAGACGGAGATAGTATAAAAAAACTTTATACTCCTTCCGCCCCTTAACAATCTATCTATTTTTCTATTTTAATCTATCTCATAACAAAATATCTATTTCTTTTTTTTTAGTAACAATATTTTCCACTGACATTAATAATGTCCTTACAACTTATAATATATTACACAAATATCATTACATTTATGTCACACAATACTAACAAGGTTATTTGAGTATTTTCTACTTTATTCATATCATATCATGTGCAAAAAAACAAACGGATACATAGATAAGGGACGTAGCGAATATTTAAAAATTTTATACTACCTCCGTTCCGAAAAAAGAGTAACATTTATTTTTTGCACGTAGATTTTGAATATTAGTATTATATTGATTTATAGTAAAAAAAAAACAAAAATGCCCTAATTAAATTGTGTGATAAAAAATAATGATATTTGTATAATATATTAAAAATTCTAGATGTATTATCTATGTTAGTTACATAATAAATTACTAAATTATAAAATAATATTTGTTTTAAAACAAACAAAAATAAAAAATAATATTGTTGTTAGTACAATATTTTTAAATCCTTATAAGAGCCCCATAACACCTGTCTTTCCACACCCGCCAATTGAATTACGCCATTTAATGCTTCAAAAAGGCCACGTAACACCGGTCTCTTCACTCTCACCAATTGAATTATGTCATTTATTTATTACTCCCTCCGTCCCATGTATTACCGTAGATACATAAATTTAGGTAAAATATAATTAGTAAGTAATTAAAAAATATATTAGTAAAAATAATTATTATTTACTAAAAATAATTATAAATTAAAATTAAAAAAAATTAAATTTTAAATTTTAAAATATGATTAAAGTGTATAATTAATTTTTAAAAAAAGCAAATGATAAATTATGTGGAACGGACGAAAATAGAAAATAGAGACAAATTATGTGGGACGGAGGGAGTATTTTTTTTTTTTTTTGAATTTTATTTTATATATTATTAGAATTTAATTTCTGTTTAATTACGAACTTTCTTTCTCTTGGCAGAACACACAATGGGTCTCATTTTAAGAGATTATGTTATAAAATACATTTGGTACAAACCTTTCAACCCATAAAAATTATAAACAATTTTGTATATATTTTTATATAAAATATTATACTATATTTTTTTTTAAAAAAAAATTATTTTAAAAATATCAAAATATACATAGTTAAATAATTTCAAATGAAAAAATCTTAAAAATGCAAAACTAAAATCCTAGAAATAAATCCATATTGTTGTCTATGATACACACATTTGAAAAAAAATTGTAATGTCTATTAATACTAAATTTTAAATATATTATATC